GGTTGGCTTTTTGTTAGCCCCGAGACTCTCTGCCTGTGTGTTGGGGTTTACCCTGGGGGACGAGAGGGTTGCTTCCCTGCGCCTTCAGGTCGGGGAACGGGTCCTGACTGTTGTTTGTGCTTATGGGCCAAATATCAGTTCAGAGTACCTACCCTTTTTGGAGTCCCTGCCTGGGACGAGTGCTAGATAGTGCTCCATCATATTACCATACACCATATTTGAACCACAGCATAGAAATTTTGGGAACACATAAAACTTGTACAAACTCAATTTACATCTTGCAAAAATTAAAAAAAGCAATAAGAATCATTTATAATGAGCAACTACAGAGATCAGTCCAACCCGTTATTTATTAAATTACTTGAGGTATGTTCTGAACAAACCATCATTAGTCCTTTATTTCCACATTTTTGGATTTGCAGCTCATGCTGCTGATCTGTAGGCTATTTATATAGCACCGTTTAGAGACCTAGAGCCCCCCAAGACGCTTTAAAACAGAATAGAGATTGCTTAAAAACGCAGCTGGAGTTGTAAAAACAAAGGACAACAATTGTTTGAGTAAATGAGCAGGAGTTCAAGTAAACAGACAGGGTTTGTTATAAAAAGAGCACCTTTCTGTCTAAAACCACCTGGCATATGAGATCTTCCATAAACCAGGGAGCTTGTACAGCAGCAGCATGTCAGGGCGTCACTTGAACAATCCAAACAGGATCGACCCAGTTTTCCTGTGATTGCTGTGGCAGGTGAAGCAGAAGCAGGTGAGCTCCGGCTGATCGATTCTCAGCGGCAGTCTTGGGTAAAGCCTCCAGCTGACTCTCCATTAGCTGCGGGATTCTGGTGTTGAGGTGACTGAAGCATCCTGGGAAATCAGCACAGAGGTTTTAATAGATACTCCTCGTGTTGCTGAGTCAAGCATCTTCCAGATGTTTGGAAAGAAATCAGTTTCGTTTAGAGAAGAGTGTCAACTCCTACATGAATTGCACGTTGATGGTTTTCATCTTTGTTCCCATTCAGTAACCATTACTGCATCAGTCGGGCTCCAGGAGATGAACACCAAGAGAAGAAACTGTTGCTCTTGCACAGGAAAGAAAAGCTGCTGCAAGTTTTAATTTGACCACCTAGCTCCATAAAAACGAGACGGGTGATGATGTTTTTAGCAAAGTATCTGATAAACCACGAGAGATTTCAGGGAGATCACTGGAATGTACCTGATTCAAGATGGCTGCCATTGCCGTTGAGCACATGCAGCACAAAGGTGGTCGTACCCGAGTCCGTTTCATGAATAATGATCTATAATCTGATGTGGTGGTTAAGTCACCCCAACACATACTAACAGCCTCGTGCATGTTAAGATGAGACGTCTTTGTTTTTACCTTCGGGATTAAAAGTTGGTGTCGACTATGACAAAATAATCCTTGGAGCTAGAGCTCCACCACAACGTTCTCTGGTGGTCTGAACTCGGTCACCATTTCTAGCATAACTGATCTATTTGGTAGTCAAGAGTCATTCGTCTTAGTCAACCAGAAATGATCAAAACTAGATTATTCTGTTCAGGATTTGAAATCACACCTTAACCCTTTGATGCATGAATTATGAAATCTTCAACCATGATTTTTTTAACATTTTTTTTTTTCATTCGTCTTTAGGTGTGAATGAAACAAATTTCAACAAATGTTTTTTGTAAAATTTTATAATTTACAAATAATTTACATGTCCACCTCAGTGGACAGCGTGCATTCTGAGCATGAAATATGGTGGCTTGGCTTCCTGAAGTCCAAATGGAGGGGCTCAAATGCAATAAAGTCCTCAACAGCTGTGCTTAATAGCAAAAACAAATAAACAACAATTTTGTACCTGTCCACTGTAGTGACCCTTATGCATCAAAGGGTTAAACCCACTTTTATCGGCTAGCTTTCCCCCAACATTGACACTGGTTTTATTGTAATCATTAGTATTGCACGGTTTTAATTGCTTTTATTTGTCCATTTTTTAATTCAATATGTTTTTCTTACTACTCTAGTTTTTATGTCCTGCTCAGCACCCTGGGCCTCCGCTACGGTGGTAGAAGGTGCTTTAAAAAAAATAAATCAAATGATGGTACGTGTGGTAAATCAGAATAAATGGGAGCTGCCCAAGGAATATACATAAATACTGGCCTTCAATCCAAAATCCGTGGATTTTCTGAAATGAACAGAAAAACTTTTGGAGTGTGAATGTAATTTGAGTTTTAACTGCTTTTGAGTTGACTTAACTGAATTTTACAAATCATGACTTATACTTTGGTATCATCTATCTGAAAGCATTTCCAACATGGCTGAATTTTTGCATTGAAACCTAAACTAATTTTTTCAACATAAAATGATCAAAGTTTAAATTTTCTTTGTGAATCAAAAACAAATCTAGCCTACACTGATTTTAGATCTAAAATGGTAAAGTGATCGTGGATAAACGTAAACATCGAGGATTCATAAAAACACTCGAGTACGGCAAAGAAAAGTGATTTTTTTTCTAGTTATGACTCATGTACTGGTTACGGGAAGACAAAAGGTGTTTCTGTTTGTTTATTTATTTAGCAGACGCTTTTATCCAAAGCGACTTACAATTTCTAACCCATAGGGCATGTTGCGATCTGTGGGGGAACCGGTGTACCCAGAGGAAACCCACGCATGCCAAGGGAGAACACGCAACTCCACGCAGAAAGGCTGCAGCCGAGCCGAGTTTCGGACCTGCAACCTTCGTGCTGCGAGGAAACGGTGCTAGCCACTGCGCCACCATGCAGCCCCATGGTGTTTACTTTTGTGAAACTCGTGTGTGTGTGTGTGTGTGTGTGTGTGTGTGTGTGTGTGTGTGTGTGTGTGTGTGTGTGTGTGTGTGTGTGTGTGTGTGTGTGTCAGTCATGCAGAGCGACAAAGTGGTTCCTGGTGTAACAGAAGTGCAACACAAATGTTGTCCAGGGATCAGTCTGATGCATCCAAACCCTGAGAACTGCAGTCAATTTAGAGCAAGTCGAGGTGTGTGTGGTGGTGGTGGTGGTGGTGTGTGTGGGGGGGGGGGTTGTGTGTGTGTGTGGTGGTGGTGGTGGTGGTGGTGGGGGGGGGGGGGTTGTGTGTGTGTGTGTGTGTGTGTGTGTGTGTGTGTGTGTGTGTGTGTGTGTGTGTGTGTGTGTGTGTGTGTGTGTGTGTGTGTGTGTGTGTGTGTGTGTGTGTGTGTGTGTGTGTGTGTGTGTGTGTGTGTGTGTGTGTGTGTGTGTGTGTGTGTGTGTGTGTGTGTGTGTGTGTGTGTGTGTGTTGGCAGGCTGAATCCCCACAGAGCAGAAACAAGACTTCCATTAGAGATAGGATTCCCATTTACTGGTTACTAGAACTTGGAGGTTTCGTCCTGACAGCAGTAAAAGATTGTCTGCAGAACCAGAAATTCATTCATTTGGATTCAAATTAATTTTGACTGAGAGAACTAAAACATTTGAGAAATTACTTGTGTGTTTTTAACATACTTTCCAGACATGTGTGTTTTCACACCCATGATTTCCTTTCTAACTTTTGTATTGAATGATCCTTGTTTATTGACCCGGTGTTTGTTTTACCTCACTTGATCCTTTATTCATTTCCCAGGCTGTTCCCAAAAACGAGTCACGTGACTTTTTTCTTTTTTAGCATCGTCGTCGTCGTCTTCCTCCGCTTATCCGGGTCCGGGTCGCGGGGGCAGCATCCCAACTAGGGAGCTCCAGACTGTCCTCTCCCCAGCCTTCTCCACCAGCTCCTCCGGCAGGACCCCAAGGCGTTCCCAGACCAGATTGGAGATGTAACCTCTCCAACGTGTCCTGGGTCGACCCGGGGGCCTCCTGCCGGCAGGACCTGCCCGAAACACCTCCCCAGCGAGGCGTCCAGGAGGCATCCTGACCAGATGCCCAAACCACCTCAACTGGCTCCTTTCGATCCGGAGGAGCAGCGGCTCTACTCCGATTCCCTCCCGAATGTCCGAGCTCCTCACCCTATCTCTAAGGCTGAGCCCGGCGACCCTACGGAGGAAACTCATTTCGGCCGCTTGTATCCACGATCTCGTTCTTTCGGTCATTACCCAAAGCTCATGACCATAGGTGAGGGTTGGAACGTAGATCGACGGGTAAATCGAGAGCTTGGCTTCCGGCTCAGCTCCCTCTTCACCACGACAGATCAGATCAGTGTCCGCATCACTGCAGACGCCGAACCAATCCGCCTGTCGATCTCCCGATCCCTCCTACCCTCACTCGTGAACAAGACCCCGAGATACTTAAACTCCTCCACTTGAGGTAGGACCTCTCCCCCGACCCGGAGTTGGCAAGCCACCCTTTTCCGGTCGAGAACCATGGTCTCAGATTTTTTTTTTAGCAACATTTAAAATAATTTTACATTTATAAATTGTGTAATAAAAACATGAAATACACTTTTGATAGTTTATTGGATATAATTAACCATTAGTCCAAGTTAATATAATTTCACAAGTGGGAAAGTTTTTATTTTCTTGACCCTTACCTCACATTAGAGCATTGTTTTGTGCTCGAATGACTTTAATGTTAGAAAATGTAAACGTTGGGTAAGGGTTAAAGGTGTGTTTACTAAAACCTGATTATGACTGGTCTCTGAGCTTTTCATGCAGGCTGAAGATGAAAATAGTCTCCTACACCAGCTTCTGACAGAAAATAGACGGTGAAACTTTAGAAAAGCCTTACATATCTACATCACACTGTCACTTCACATTCATGGATTCATCCGTCTTGGCTCTCAACAGTTGTTGGGTTAGCGTCCAGGAAAACCGCCAATATATCAGCTAGTTTAAGCTAACCATTAGCATTAGCAACGCCACCACACAGCGGAACTCAGGTGTGAGTTATTTGGAGATAAAACATAGTTGCAAGTCAGAGGTAGATTGTGTTACTATCTAATCCAGATTTTGGCGTTTTGTGCCCCGAGTTCTGCCTGCAAGGCATTCATTCCTTCTAGCAACCACACTAAACAATTCAGTGTTTCTGAAGATGGTATTTATTAACAAATTCTATTTTCAAGCTTCTTTAAGCAGCCAAATGTGATCATCATACAAACAGTGTGAGCACAGAAGCAGCAGCAGCTTACTTGAAGGACTAAGCAACAGGCTCTTAGATTATCAGACAGTTTAACAACTCGGTCTTAAATATGTCATTTGTAAAGATAAATACCCTCCGGAAGTCCAACTGTTAAAACTCATGCAGTCATAAACACCATTTTCTGACCAGCAGTTACACATCAAACAACATTTATATACATTATCTTACATCTGGACTAAAAACAGCCACATCAGTTTTATATTGCTTCACTAACGACCAGAAGCTGAACAAACTTACTGCAGCCACCAGCTAACACCCACACTCCCATCATAAATGCAGCCTGGTTGGTGTGTGTGTGTGTGGGTGTGTGGGTGTGTGTGTGTGCGCGTAGGCTCTTCCCTAGAATCCTCCTCGTTTACATCGTGAAACGACGAGTCATCTTAGCGGATCAGTGTCGTCAGCAGCTGATTGTGTCAACAGGAAAACACAATGAGGGCCAAAGTTTCATCAGTTCTAATGAAAACATCTTGGTTGGTGACTTTACTAAATGTCCTTTCTGGCCTCTGAGGCTGTGATAAATGAGGGCATCTGCTCATGTATCTGTAGTTGCTGGTTAAAATTGGGTTTGTCCTTCAGCCTGTGGAAAGAAACTACCTGCATCTCTAAATTAATTCAGCATCGTGTTTTATTCCCACATGAAGCTTTTTAATCACAGAAACATTAAACAGCGGTTGTGTTTGTAGTTGACTCGACTGTAGATGACCCGTTGGGAAGCGAGTCCAGCATGACCGTGCCGGCCTGCTCCAGGTTCCAGTGGTGATGCTGCAGCAGCTCCTCACACTCCGCTCTTGAACGCAGTCCCAAGCAGAACAGCTGCTCCACCTGGAGGATATGTACACCAAGGTATGTCATCTGTTGCCATGACTACTTGCACTCTTGCTCTGTGTATAAAATGTTGTTATAGGGTGCCTAAGTCACGCCCACCTACTTCTGGACCAGGGGTCCCCGGAAGAGCCAAGAAATGAATGCAAGACAATATGGCTAAAAACGCTATTTTCTAATCCCGCTTGTTATGCGCCATGGACTTCACATATGATGTTTGTGAATTTTAAAGACTCATTTTGATGCCAAGAAAGCGACGATTTTCAAATGGGGGAAATGTGCTTCACTGAAATGACGTCATCTAACCAGACGAGGAGAAAAACAGGGAAAATGGCTGTAAGTTCTACAAACTTCAAATCTTTCCTTTAGAAGGAAAACCCACCATAAATCTGGTCACGTGGTAAGTGGCAGCTACGCTAGGGGAGAGATTATGTGGTGACGTCAAATATGCAACATACTGATTTGTAGCCATGCTAATTACATCATCTCAAATACAAATCTCAAAGTAAGTGACTGGCATGGTCGAAAAACATTTCATTACTTTTCATTTAAATTGAAGTACAACCAGCATGTGTGTGATCCAGGGTGTAAGGCAAAGCGGATTAGAAAACAGCTCTTTTAGGCCTAGTCCACACGTAGCCGGGGTTTTTTGAAAACGAATATCCGCCCCTCCAAAAACTTGCATCCACACCACCGCGTTTTAAAAACCAACTCTGTCCACACGTACCCGGATAAATACGTTGTTAAGGACATGCCAGACCTGTAGGCGGCAGTACTTCCCCCGTTCTTAATCTCGTCCTTCGTCTGTGGTCTTCCACAAGGAGCAGTAATTCCGCTTGCAAAAACAAACAAGCAAAAAGCGCTTGGACAATTGATGGATCGGGTAGTGACAGAGCGCAGCTCTGAGGGCATCCATGATGCCGGCTAGTGTAAACACAGGTCGCACACGTGATGTCAGCATTTTTCTGTCGCGGAAAGTGACGTTGCGGACCTTAAAACTCCGGTTTTGTCTGTCCACACGCAGACACCCAAAACGGAGAAAACGCAGATCTTCACTTTGGCCGGAGTTTTTAAAAAGATCCGTTTTCGTGTGGATGACAGGCCAAAACGTAGGCCAAAACGTAGAAAAGTATCTACGTTTTGGCAGATCCCCGGCTACGTGTGGACAGGGCCTTCGCCTCGTTGACTTGCATTCATTTTTCTGGGAACCCATGAGCTGGCCGGAAAGGGAGGAGACTTGAGCTCCCCATTCCATTTAGGGAAGTCTTATTTATGACACAGTATTACAGTATTTATATCTATAGGCACTAAAGTAAAACTTACTCAAAGTGAATTCTCATTTCTTGCAATTTTGATGATTATAGCTGCAGATAGAGAATTCATAAATTGAGTCTTATTAGAAAATTTTAATGTATAAAATCTGGTTTATGGAGCAACAAAAAAAAAACACTAAAAGATGCTGGATAGCAGCCCTCGAGGAACAGTCGATCAGCAGGATGACTGCTGCCTGGACAGAAGACAGTAATTGTAACCCAATCTTTCCTCTCAGCGTAAATGCTGCATTGTGGGTCTTACCAGGCTGTGAGGAGCAGGTTTTTCAGTTAACATTAGGTTCCTCTAATTGTTATGTCCACCAGCCTGGCCTCTTCAGGTGGAGGAGCCAGGATTACCCAGCCCCGGTGATCAGCCAGACACCGCCCCTCCTCCTCTTCCAGGCTGCTGAGGAGCATAGCTGAGCTGAATCCTTCCAACGACCCATACCTGGGATAAAAAAGCGCCTTCAGCAGTCTTCCTCCAGGCCTCTAGCCTGGCAAGCCAGACTAAATAAATGTATTATTTAGTCTGGCAACGCTTCATTGACGGCTCTTGGTTGTGGGGCGTGTTCTACCGTTGTCTTTCAAATGATCTCTGCATTCCACTGGACAATGAATGTGACATACTCTTGTTTCACTCTGTTGCATCAACCCACCCACCAGGCAGATAGAGTGCCCTGATTGGCCCACAAAGCAGATAAAGCTCTGTGATTTGTTCACTAAGCAGATAGAGCACTATGATTGGCCCACCATTATGGACCAATCACAGCTCTTTATGTGTTTGAAACCCCTCTAGAGAGCTGTGATTGGCTAGCCAGAGTCCTGGTAGGAGCTGCGGAGGTTCCAATGGAGCATGCCTAGACCAAACTTTGCAAAGCAAGAATTTGGTCTAGTTCACTAGGCTACCGGGCCTCAGATTTTGGTTTAAACCCTGTTTTTTTGGTGAGTTTTAACTTTGGTAGTTTTAACTCTGAGTGATCCAGAGGGATTGTTTTGAATGTTAACTTAGTGACAATTTTATTGACTCGTTATTTTTTTTAACTCTTTTTTGGTACTTAATGTAACCCACCCCCTCCCGGACGAGCCCCCATTTATGTTACGTCCTGGACAGGAGGTGTTAAAATGTGATGGAGGGGGCAACATGAGAAATGAGACAGTGGATTTAAATGGGTTGATTAGTCAAAAGGTTCTAAAAAAAAAAATTGCAAAAAGATGGTGAACATTATTAAAATAATGCCAAACAAAAATTCTCTAAAAGGTTAACATTAAAAACACCTGATTAAAACTTATTCTAAAAGTTTTACCGAAACAGTAGGCGTTTAAAACCAGAGTCAATAAAATTGTATTGGCAAGTTAACCTGCAAAACAATCCCTCTGGATCTCTGAGCTTTACCCTTTAAAAACTCATCACTCAGAGTTAAAACTGCCAAAGTTAAAACCCATCAAAAAGGGGTTGAAACAAATCTGAGGCCTGGAGGACAGCAGAACCCTGCGCTGCTGCCTCCCAGACTGCTGAAAGCCCTTTTTTATCCCAGGTGTGAGTCGTCGGAAGGATTCAGCTCAGCTGTGCTCTTCAGCGAGGAGGAGGATCACCAGAGCTGAGTGATCCTGGCTCCTCCACCTGAAGAGGCCAGGCTGGTGGACATAACACTAATGAAAGTGCATGCTGAAGAGAAAAGTACCTTTAAATATTCAACAGCCTGCTGAACGTTCCAGTTATGACTCTGCAGAGCGGCTGTACACTCCTCCATCGTGACGCCATGGACTGCTCCTTGTACCTGTCGACAAACACACTCAGAATGAGAGAAGATTGTAAATGAAGTGAAGTTCAGATTCCAGACATCTATGATTCTCTTACAAATGAAATTCCAACACCTCATTCTAGTTAATTTAATTGTTAAAAAACAAATGATCTGATGTTTCTTTAGAGCAAAGTTGTCTGTTGAATCTGTTGATAAAATTACGCACCAATAAAAGCTTTAAAATGGAGTTGGTCAAATGTTTGGTTTTTGATATCAGACCCAAGATGTCACCTGTGTGATGCTCTGGTCCTGTTGCATGCTGGGAGCTGCAGCTCGTCCATTGTTGTTGTTGTAGGAGGTGTTTGGTTTGGCTCCACCTGGCTGCTGCATCATGGGTTTGACTGCTGCCATATTGGCGGCCCCGTATCTGATCAGACAACCAGAAATGATACTAAACTACATGAAAAGTATAAAGTCACATTAAAGCTGCTTTTAGGAAGCAGGCATTTAGCTGCACTTGGACTACCCGTTAGCTCGTCAGTCCTGCTGAGGGAACTTTTTATAATTGCTAAGATAAACAGTCAGGACGTCCAGTTGCTGCTGATTAACTTGCTACAACTCACTTAAAGTTACTTCCTTAAGCTATGAAAGAAATAATTAAATGACCCACCTCTCCAGAAAGGCTGGTCTCTCCGGCAGGGGGGTGGGATTAGAGCTGTCGATCAGTGATGAGAAGCCACGCCCCTCCCGGAAGGTGAGAGGGTCTAGTAAGGAGGTGGAGGAGTAAGATGAGCCAGGAGGCACCAGCCGTGTGGAATGTGAGGAAGAGTTGTTGGGCAAGAGGGAACCCAGGAGTCCACCTGCCCGTCGTGGAGAGACAGACAGAGGGGGAGGGGGGAGGGCCATGGGCGGCACCAGTGGGAGGGGAGAGGAGGAGCGAGAACCTGGTTGAGAAAAAGCATGGTCTCTGGGGGGGATCTGAGGGGGCACGTCGTCCTCATCTCCCAGTGAAATGGAGCTGGAGCGGGCCTGTGGGTGGGCGGGCCGGGAGGAAGTGCTGTTTTTGGAGGGACGCAAGGGGGGGATAGGACTGCGGGGAGGCAGCACTGGCCGATCCTCGAGGCAGGGGGAGGGAGGAGGCAGGCAGATCTGTCGATGGGGACCCAAAGGAACAAGAGGCATGGGGGTGGGAGAGGAGGGGAGGGAGCGGCCAGTTGTCATGGGAACCCGAAGCTTGACCATAACCTGTCAGCAGAGGAAAATCAGACTTTAAATAATAAAATTATTTGCATTTGTCGTTTATGCCTCCCTACCTCTCTCTGTAGCTCCTGGAAGAGGTCCGCTGACTGCGACTCGCTCCTGCCCCCCATGCTGGCTCCAGACGTGACCAAGGCTTCTTCAGTGGACCCCTTATTGATGGAGCGAACTTCCTGATCCTCTGATTGGTCCTCCAGGTCTGCAGTGACCTCATCATAGGCTGGCTGAGGGAGAGGCCAGTCCAGGATGGACGGAGTGTCCTGAGGTGGAAAATAAGTTACAAAAATGGTTACAGTCATGAAAGAGAAACGTGTGACACTGTCAATAAAAAAGATTCAGTATGAAAACACCGTCTGATGTCCTGCTGCAGCTGACCATCTGAGGAGAAGTACGTGTTTATTAGCATAAAGAGAAGAAAATCTAAAGGTAACTTTTAGGGATGTGAATCTTGGAGCAACTCACGATTCGATTCCGGTTCTTGGGGTGCCGATTCGATTCAGAATCGATTCACGATTCTCAATTTAAATCCATTCACAATCAGTATTAACAGAGTGTCAGCTCCGGGATTTACTACTTTGTTGTACAAGTTAGTTAAAGCTATGGGACATTTTTATTTGACTTTAAACTGGTCATGCTCCAAAAATGCAGATTTATAAGGTAAAATTAAGTGATTCTAAAACTGTAAACAGAAACAATCTTTTGACCAAAAGGCAACATTTATTTATGTTTACCTTGTAAAATATAACAAATCTGTAGTTACCTAACAGTAGCTTTGAAAGTAACACGGTCAAATACTTTTCAAGTATGAGTAGAAACTAGTTACATGAGTAATCCTGAGTACTCATTTATCAACTTCGAAAATACGAGAATCTCTCAAATTTCTGAGTATGGAAAAAATGACATTCAAGTGCCCTCTTATCAGCAGATTCAAACATAAATCATCTCAGTTTATGGGACCACAAAAGTAATCAGAGTACTGACTCTCCTAACAAAGATCAAAAAAGTGCACCTCAAACCTGTAACATGCCAAATATTTGAGTTCTTGGAATCGACTCTGAACCTTTGTGAATCGATTCTGAATCTTTATAAATAAGAATCCCGATTCAGACTTGAATCGATTTTTTTCAGCACCTCTAGTAACTTTGGACAAGTGCGATATTCTGACCACAGAGGGTGATGGGGGCTGGCTGGCCTTTCATTAACCCTGTAAAGGCGCGTTTTAGCACATATTGACTCAAGAAGATGATTAAAAATATGAAAAAGTTGCAAAGTATCCACTTAAAATCACTCAAAACAGCTTAATGCCACATTTTCTCATTTAAATAAAAGGAAAAAAAATTCTAACTAATTAAAGTCCACACATCACACTAACTAAATGTCCACAATGTGAAAGCTGGAGCTGTGGAGGTTGAACCTCCACCCCACAGTAGACCGGTAAAGCGTGAACATGATCATGCTGCACCTGCCTGGGTGCATCCCTGAGGAACCCCTCAGGCCAAAGGCTGCATCTCTACACAACCTTTGACCAGAGTCAATGCTCATTTCTAACCCTTCTACTGTGTGTGTGTGTGTGTGTTTTCTGAGAGGGGGTGGGTTACATTAAAAGGTCAGAGGCATAAACCTCCACATCAGCGGTGACAAAGAGAACAGAGACCATCTCCATGTCTCCACTGAGGGTTTGCTGCCAACACGAAACATCACGCTTGTCATTCCCCAGCTTAATGAGATGTTGAGCAAAACTGTCTAGTATGACTTCTGTTCCCCCAGAACAACAGAGGGGTTGATGAACTTTACCGGTTAATTTAAATTTGAGCATGCAGAGACCAAAGGTCACACGGCTGGAACGAGCCAAGCATGTCGAGTTATTGCTGCAGGTTTAGACTGAACGAGCGGCGAGGACCACCGTGCATCCTGGGTTTTAGTTAATAGATTCAGATTCTTTAGAAAAGTGGAATAATGGAATCTGCATGGCAAGCTAGCCACAGCTAGCATTAGCTAATGCTAAAAGTTGTGCACTTTGAAGGGCTTAAATATTTAAAATAACTTTCAGACGTATGCGAGACGTGACGACGTTCGTTACGGCTGACTGAACCAGTGGCGTCAGACCCTGGCCCTCCTGGGCCACCGTCCTGTAAATTCTAGGGATGTCTCTAACCGACTTCAGCTTCTGAGTCAGGTGTGTTGGAGCAGGGAAACAACTAAAACATGCTGAATAGGAGCCCTTCACTGAACCTAACTTACTAGACAGCTAAACTAGCATTCCACAGTTTCCTTGCAGCTGACCAAGTACTGCTAACCGGTCTAAAACTAAAACCTGGTGTGTGCAACATCCTAAGCTGATATTAAAGGACAAATATGATTAGCACGAGTCTCTAGTCAGGCAAAACCCGTGAAATGCTAAACTATAAAGCTAGCCTTCATTTTCACAGAGTAGTTTCTGAGTTTTAGATCAGCTGACATAGCCATCTTTACACCAACAGAGATTAAATGTTGAGATTATTTTAATGTAAAAGATTTAGGTGCTTCATCTTTGTTTCACAAACAGATCTGAACGTTTGCCTAAATCTGCCGCTTCCTGCAGCAGGTTAAACTGACGAGGTGACAAAATCAGCCCACCGACACCGGCCCATCATCCTATAGAAATACCTCATCCTTTAGGTTCCTGACCACAAAGAGGTACTGGGATGCTGATTTAATTTGAGATTAAACCTTTCTCAGTGGCCTAGTGGTAGAGTGTCCACCCTGAGACTGGGAGATCAGGAGTTCGAATCCTGGTCGGGTCATACCAAAGACTTTGAAAAAATGGGACCCAATGCCTCCCTGCTTGACACTCAGCATTAAGGGGTTGGATTGGGGGGTTAAACCACCAAATAGTTCCCGAGCGTGGCTGTGTCTGCAGCTCACCGCTCCCCCAGGGGATGGGTCAAATGCGGAGAACAAATTTCGCACACACACCTGTGTGTGTGACAACTAATGGGACTTTAACTTAACTTTAAACTGTGTGACAAGACGGTAACTCAGATTAAACAAACAGGAATTCTTGTCACGATCTGGCGCTGAACAGACGTCGCTTTTCCCTGAATCAACGTTTGTCTTTTAGAATCTTTCACAGAACTAAAATGTAAACAAACAAAAGCATCTGAAGGTTTTTGGTGAAAAACATGGGCTTTGTTTTGAAAAAGCTTGAAAGTTAGTCAGATCTGAGTATTAAAAACAACTTGTGGAAAGTCAGGAGGAGTCCAAGAGTTTGGACATCACCAGTTGTCCTCTACTGGGACAGCCGCTGGTCGGAACTGAGTAGTCTGACTACCTTCAGCGTGTCTTCATCTGGTTGACGTGTCTCTGTCAGCGGGGAAGGCGTGGTCGAGCTGAAGCTGTCGTCTGTGAAGTCGATGAGTGACACCTCGCTTTTAGCAGAGCGCACGCCGGTTCCCTCCCAAGGGCGGAGCTTCAGTCCCAGAGACGCTCCCAGCTTCCTCAGACCGGATGAACTGCTGGTGTCGTCATCGTCGACATAATCGTCCATCACCGAGTCATACAGCGGCTCTGGGACGGGCAAACGTCTGTCAGGGTGGATCGATTTAAGCCAGCAGCAAAAACAGAAAAACTCACTCTTCAGCAGAACGGCAGGCTGAGGAGGACGAGGAGGCGGCTTCTCTGTGAAGGACACGGTCGGGCTTTTCGTGAGAAACTGGATCGCTTTTCTGCATCATCATGACATCAAATTAAAGTTACTTACTTTTTGCTCGGTTGGGGAGTTTGGTTGGTCTCGCAGTGCCAGAATCAAATCCTAGGACATCAGGAGGGTCCATGGGGTTTCCCAAATACAGACTGAAGAAATGTCAGGAAATAACAAAAATAGGATAGATCACATTTTAAAATCAACATATAAAAACCCTAGGGTCACTAAAACAAGCTAATTCACCTTCGTGCTACTGGAACAGCTGAGTACCACGTTATTTAAAGATGTCGGTGGTCCTGCAGCAACTGTGAGGAACTCTGAACCTAATTATTTAAATTAGCCAGAAAGAAACTGAGTTTAACAACTTTTGGTATTCTGCTGCCCTCTAGTGGGCCGCGTCAGTATCAAGACTCTGTGGCTTTCCTTTTGTAATAAAATTACATTTTGATTTTAAACACCCTTGGGAGTTTTGTTTCCTCAGAAACATCAAACATCTTGCAGCTTTAAAATAAAACCTGAAACTTTTACAGTCAAGTCTGCGAGTCCAAGAGTATTTTTCATTTTTAGCTTGTAACGTATCCGTTTAACCTGAAACCAACGTGCATCTTTATTCCTGCTTAGACGGCGTATGAACCTGTCTATTCGGTCTGCGTGACCCCAGCTCCGGTGAGGGTCTGTGTCTCCGTGTCCAGTGTGGATAAACGAGTGTTTCAGAGGTTTGCTGATGTCTTGGGCCGACAAACCGGCCACTGATGTCACGACGTGTCGAGGAAACTGACCGACACGCAGCGTTTGCCTGTTCTGGCCTCGCCACCAATAATGCTCCGCCCTGCAAAAACACACACGTCATTATACTTCACCTTTCCTTAGCTAGCTGGTAAGGTGATCTTTTACAAAAGCAACATATAAGATGTGCTTCTGTGGAAGATGAGCTTCAGAACTGAAGCCTGTTATCTTCAGTGAGCGGTTAGTTCACGCTGCTTCCTGGAGCAGAATCAGGCAGACGTGAAACGGACCTTCCCTCGATGATTGTGATGACATCGCTCATTTTAATCTGGAGCTTGTCTTCCTCCTCGAAGTCCTGCAGAGCTCTCATGTCCGTAGGCATCGTCTGCAGACCCAACACCTGTTATTAGTGAGCTAGAAACATAAAGTACAGTGATCCCTCGCTACTTCGCGGTTCGTTTATCGCGGATTCACGACTTCGGATTTTTTCTTTGGAGCCTTATTCAAGGGAAATTCGCCAATTCGCGGTATTTTTCTATGCGAAATATCAAGAAATTCCTGTTTTTTTTCATCAATTTCATCCTAAAGTGCACTATTTGTAATAAAACTATAAAAAAAAACAATTAAAAAAAAATTTTTTTCTTGAGTTTTACCCACAAAAAGAGAATGTGATCATACGATAATTCAATACAGTCCTGTATGTCAGACTGGTCGGCTGGATTCGGGAGTTGAGCTTGTAGGGAGCGCGTGGTTTCACAGACGCGGAAGTGAGAGCGTCGGTGAAACGCCGGCTCACGATTTAATCTAGGAAACCCCCGAGCGTTCGAGCGTCAACGAAGTGACACGGAAATGCCGGGCTTTCCAGAAGTAAGTAAGATAACTTACTATGAGCTGGTAGTTCGTGGGATTGATCGGTAGGTTGGAAACTCTGATCATGAATCTGAAGAAACGATGACTGAGTGGTGAGCTGGAAAGGCGACTTCCGTTTATAGCCGCGGTTTGTGACGTAGGTGCGACGTGGAGGGAATCCCCGCGAGGGGCATGCTGGGAGTTGTGGTCCATAGTGGAGGCCGGCTAGCTGGAAGAGGCTGGCCTTGGGTTCGGACACTGTACTGTAAATATGGAGTCCCTACTTCGCGGATTTTGACCTATCGCGGCCAGGTCTGGAACGCATCTACCGCGATAAACGAGGGATTACTGTAGATGTGTTTTTGTCACAAACCGCATGAGATTCACAGCAGTTTTACCTCGAGCAGGAAGTCTCTGAGAGCGATGAAGGTGGGCCTGTCCTCAGGTTTTGGGCTCCAGCACTGCAGCATGACATTGTAGACGTCCTGAGGACAGTCATCGGGCTTGCACAGCCTCTCAGCCTCGACATCCACCTTGTGGAGGATCTGCAGACACACGTAAATGAGACGATGAGTTCAGCTGGTACAACGGTGGGGTTATTTTCTAACATTTCCACGATAAAAGTGAAAAGCTGCACCTGGCTGCCGTTCAGCCCCAGCCATGGCTCCTGGCCGTGGGTGAACATTTCCCACAGAGTCACTCCAAACATCCAGGTGTCAGACGCATGAGAGAAAGTTCGAGACTTGAGGGACTCTGGAGCACACCTGGAGACAGAAGACCAAGAGAAACAGAACGTCAAAACGAAGAAAAGAATAAAATCAAAGCAGCCTGGTCTCACCAAGGGAAAGGGATTTTGTGGCCCTCCTCCATGATGTACTGGTCAGTGTGTGTAGGTAGCGCCCTCATCAGGCCAAAGTCTCCAATCTTCACAGTTTCATTGCTAAATAGGAGAACATTGCGGGCAGCTAGGTCCCTGTGGAGGAAGCGTTTCTGCTCCAGGTAAGCCATTCCACACGCCACCTGGTCAGACACACGAAAACACGTTCCAGAGGTCATGCGAGGTGAAGAACGGAGCCGTTTTCAGAGGCGTTTGCATCAACCGACCTGAACGGCGTAGTTGCACAGGAGAGAGATGAGGATGTGGCCCTGACGCTTTCTCAGACGATCCAACAAGGAACCCAGAGGAGCGAGCTCGGTCACCTAAACCCAAACATACCAGGAAACCTGCTGAGGTCAAAGTTCACCAGGGCTGAATAAACCTACAGTTTAAACCCATTATCACGGGGGGAACCCATCAGTATATTATTTACATATCAGATATCACAATATAAAACTACTGACTGTGGACTTGAAGATATCAGAAGGTTAGCTTAGGTTGCTTCACGCATCATTAACCCAACCGATGATTAACTAAGACCCATCATGAGAAACACTGATCAGAAAACCGTAGAGTCTTCAAAAATACAAAACATCTGACTTGAGAGACCGAGGCTCACCATCTTCATGGGCTGCGTGAGGACAATCCCATACAGGGAGATGAGGTTCTGGTGGCTCAGCGAGTGCATGGCGTTCACCTCCCTTATGAAATCATCCAGACCGTCTGCATCCAGCACGCCTGCCTTCAGACACTTGACAGCCACCGACAGCTGAACAACAACAAAGCCATAGCCATGAAACAAACAGCACAACCTGGACTTAAAGCCGTTATGTACGTCACGTTCTTCTCACCACTCTGCCATTGGGTCCGGTCCACTCCCCTCGCCGCACCACGCCGAACGTCCCGTCTCCCAGCCGTTCAAACAGCTGCAGCTCCGACTCTCTGACGAGGCAGGTGAGCGAGGCTCCCGGCTCGCTGCTGAAAGGAAGGGCAGCTGATGAAGGGCCCTGAGGGAGGGGCTGCTGGGGGTCTGCATCTGACCGTTTCACAGGAAACACCTACAGGTGAGAGAACAAGGGAACCATTGCTCTTCTTCAGGTCACGGCCCCATGACGTCAGATCAAAGCAATGTGTGAAATATCTGCTGGACAGGCGTGGTTTTGCACCTTGCTCATCCAGGACTTGCGTTTGTAAAGGGCTCGTCTTCTTTTGACGGCTTCCCAAAGCCTCCTCTGACCTGAATCGACACAAACCAACCGCACTCGCATACGAAGCAAATAAACTCTGAGAAAAGTTAAACATTTCTTAATGAACCGTTAGAGGTGGTTTTAGAAGACCAACCCGGACGTCCCATGCCAATCTTCTCCAGATCTTCATTCTTGACGTAATCAAAGTGGGAGAGTCGTGTGACGTTGAGTTCGTCGCGGATTCGCAGGAAGTACTGCTGCAGCTGAACGTCAGTCAGCAGCTCCAGCAGCCAATCTGTGCCCTCCTCACACTGCATCTACACACACACACACACACACACACACACACACACACACACACACACACACACACACACACACACACACACACACACACACACACACACACACACACACACACACACACACACACACACACACACACACACACACACACACACACACACACACACACACACACACACACACACACACACACACACACACACACACACACTTGTTACTAGTAGCAACCAGCTTTAATTTTGAACGAAAACAGTGATTTTCAAAGGTTTTTAGTTGTTTCTGCATCAAAAACACAAAAATGGTCGAGTTCATCCTCGTCAAACGTCTCGTTTTGCTGAACAAAGATCCCAAAACAAAATAAATTCTAAAAGTAAGACAACCCAGTGACTTTTTGTCCTTCCTGACAACATAAAGTGTACAGCTGTAATGTATCATGATAAACTTTAGGTGTCACGAAAACAAAAACAAGATGGTTTTGAAGTTTCCTGGCAGACTTTAACCACTGAATATGTTGATGGTTAAACTGGCAGATTTCCAGTATGAGACACTTATGGTGGCCGATTCCAGCTCAACGTGAAAAAAGGAGGTCCTCTTCACTCTGAGTGACCACACCCACACAAATGTAACGTAAAGACTGAAGCCCATCTACACTACCTGGATTTAACAGAGCAGACAGGTAGCAGCTGCAGCACGTCATTTAAACCCAGCTGGTTCAACGAGCTGCTTCTCATTTCTTAAACAACCGTGTGGAACGACACACCTGGTGGTCGTGGGAAAGATGTTGGTCTGTGTGAGCAGGGTCAGATCATCGGCATCAAGCAGAAAAAGCATCGAAGGAGATGCAGAAACGACTAAAACTGGGTCCAACGCGCTATTAAAGCTGGTCTGAGGAGTCCAGATGGACCCTGTTCCAGAGCGATGGCGCATCAGGGTAAGAAGAGAGGCAGATGAAGTGATGAACCCATCATGCCTACTGCCTGCTGTACAAGCCTGTGGGGGCAGGGCTATGATCTGGGCTTGCTGCAGGTGGTCAGGTCTAGGTTCAGCAACAGGAAGAGTGGTTCAGGGAGCGTGAGATGGATCAGCCACCACAGAGTCCAGACCTTTACCCCACTGAGAATCTCTGGGATGTGCTGGAGAAGGCTCTGGGCAGCGGTCAGACTCCACCACCATCAATGCAAGGTCTTGGTGAAACATTAATGCAACACTGGATGCAGATAAACCTGGTGACACTGCAGAAGCTCATCAGAACAACGCCACAGCGAATGTGTGTCGTCGTCAAAGCTAAAGGAGGTCCGAAATATTAAGAGTGTGTGTGACCTTTTTTTTGGGGGGGGGTGGCGACTTTTTTTGGCTGGGCGATGCGTTACTCCAGACCTTACCATCTGTCCCCCGACTCTTCTGTTTCTCTCCTCTTCATCGTCCCCCTCCCCCTCTCCGCGGGTGTAGGGGAGTCGCTGGTACATGTAGCTCTCCCCCATACCGTAACAGCTCCTCACGTCCTTGTCTGAAGCTCTCCTCCTCCTGTGCTATTCAGACGTTGCTTTAATGCGTTAACATTCGCTCAGCTCCATGACCTCCCATGTTCGCTCGATCGATGCACGCCTGCACACACAAAAACACAAGCACTCTGACGGGGCGTTTGGTGCTGCACTCTCCTGTCGTATCACCTAAAGCCGTCTCCATCCTCCCTCCCTCCCGCTGCTCTGTTAGCTCCCTGCTGACTCACTGCAGCGTCGGACACCTCCATCATCTCCTCCTCTCTTCTCCACCTGCTCCTGGCTCAGCGGCCGAGCCCACTGTCTGATGTTGAATAATTCAGCAGCTCTAATGAGAGCATGAGAGTGAAATCGCAGAGGTAGGAGGAGGAGGAGAGGACGGAGATAAAAAAATGTGGGCAGATGAAAGAAAAACGGAACACAGCGAAACCTCTGAAAGGAGATTTCCCCAGAATCCATTCAATAAAGGACAAACACATCTCTACAGATGCGTCATTAAATCACACAACCACAGCATCACAGGAGCAATATTTTATTCTACAGATACATCAAGTTAGTTATCAGGCAGAAGGGCTGCCGCTCTTTGATTTATAACGCTGCAAACTGCCGACTGCATCTTAGCAAAAGGCTGCAGAAACGTTCTGGTGTTATTTAAAAGTTTTAAACACTTTTACCCGATTCAAGACTTGCAGATGTTCTAAATGTTCCTAAACCACGTTGGCTTCAAAAAGATCTACACATAAACAACGACTCACTCCAGGAAATAGGTTTAGCATTTAGTTGAAATATAAATGTAGTTATATAAACTGTAACTATGCAATGGGTATAAACTTTTAGAGTTTTGATCTGTGAAGCAAAATGAAAAGTATTTAAATATGTAGAGAAACTGCCACGTTAATTAAAACGTGGTTCTTGGTCTGCTTGGTAAGAGCAGTTGGTTACTACGGATTTCATAAATAAATAGTTTTTACCTCAGCAGGAAAGAAATAAAAACACCAGAATTTAGAGAGGTCAGCTGTATTCAGCTGCATGCAGATGATTCATGATTTGCAGTTAAAATGTGAAGTTTTGGTCGTAGCTTGTTGGTCATTCAGGACCTCACAAACCTTCTCGTTTTACCTTGGATGCAACTTTTTCCTAAAAGGCTAAACTGGTATTCCTGTACTTTAGATTCTGCAGCAGATCAAAGCGACAAAGAAAAAATGATGAGTTAAGATGAGGGCCGTTTCCATTAGCAGCATGTGACAGCAAATCCATGCTAACTGGTGCATGAGGAGCAGCAGCAGCAGCAGCAGTGTATGTAGGTTATGAGCAAAAGAGCTAAAATGAGCTTAAAGCCCGAGCCATCATCTCTATCCTGCACGATTTTAGGGTAACCCTCTAAAACCTGATTCTATGGTTGAATCGGCTGTTCAGCAGGTCAGCAAGACTGTTAGTTAGCCACTGATTCAAACCAGGTGTGTTGAGCAGGGAAACAACTAAAACATGCTAGATAGGGGCTCTCAGCGACCAGGGTGCGAAACAATCTGAATTTAGCTTTTCACTGGTGTCCAAATGGAAGCTTTAATTTCTTCTGTAACGGAATGAAATTACAGTTTCCGCCTCTCCTCTGACACAGAACTAGTCTGCATGAGATATGGCCTCAAGGTCTCATGCATTTGCTCTAAACCGCTTCTTTCCAGCTCAGCAGAAGAATGAAGAAAGGACTCTCTCCTTTTAATAAATTAAAGATCTCTATTTTTAATAAAGCTAATCAAAGTGTTAGTCAATAATAAGATGTGACCAATCTGTGAAATCAAAATATTACTTTATTATAATCCTATAGAATATAATCAGTAATATGACTTTAAATGTTTCCACTAGGACTGATCTCACGTAGCGTTAAGACATGACACATTGCTTTTACTGATCCAATCAGAATCTTCCAGATCTGATGGAGGCGTGGTTTTGGTGGTGTTTGGTAAATCTGTCATCTTTTCATTCGACCATAAACCAAAACATCCGAAGTATGAAACTATGCCCACGTCATTTTTAACACCAGTTCAAAGCGTTCTAGAGAAGTTGTCGGAGTGGCCAATCCGTAACTTTCCTCTTCAGCCGAAAGAACCAACGACAAGCTGGATAAAATCTGTTGCTGTTCCAACTGCTGCAACGGTTCCTTTCATAATAAAAGCTGAACTCACGACCCAGGTTTGGGTCTCACTAGATGCCAGCAAAACCGTTGTGACCCGGAAGTATCTCAAAGACTGGTCTGGTCAGCAACCGCTGCTTTTCCTACCGGCTTCGGTTCCACAACAGGTCAAGCTGGACCTCGACATTCCTGATCTAGACGGGGACTTCCAAAAGGGTACGTAGACCGACAAATGGCGTCGAATGTGTATAAATTTCAATATATGGTGTGAACTTATGGAATAACCTGGATGATGAATTAAAAAAAATGTGCAACTACTGATCAATTCAAAAAAACGTATAAAGATAAAATGCTAAAATCGTATGATTTGGTAAGTTGAGGATGGAGGATTAATGTTTTAGCAGTGATATTATTTGTGGAAGTAAGAGAGCGGTTTATTTTTTGTGTATAAGGCTATTTTGTACTTTTTGTTATTTATCTTGTCTTAGTTAAAGGGGGTAGGTCATATAAGATTTTTTCTTCTTCCTCCCCCTATTTCACTTGAATGCTTATATTCTGATTTGAAGTTTGTATATTTAAACTTTGAGTGAAATAAAGAATTGAATTGAATTAAACCTCATAACCAAAGCTTAGCGCGAAGACATCACCTTCACTTCCCATCAGAACTAATCGTTTCTCCAGATTTGCTGGTTCTGAACAATATCCCACACTACACCATTCTCCGTCTCATCCACCTTAGTTACACCATACATTTAGTGTTAAAGTTAGTCCAGTTTAATTTGTTAAGTAATAAATCTTTAAACTTTTTAAACTTGACTCTCTTCTGTTGTCTCTGAGTTAATACAAAGTTGTTACATAATCCCTGCAATAAAAAGTTCCAATCTTCTGGTTAAACAGTACCCAAAGATCCATAAGACTGATTTCATATTTACTATGGAATCTTACGTCTTATGGCTTATTAAACAACATGTAAATTAACCATTACACTTCTAATGCTGGCAACAGCAAAATGATTCAACCTAGAACATGTGGAGGAGGCTTCCTTCAACATCTTGAACACAACTAACCTGCCAGCAACCATGAATAGATTTAGATAAAAAAAATGGAACAGAATCAGAAAAAAAGTGTCACGTATGTCAGAAACACTTTAAATGTTCACACATTTCACTTAAACCACAATATTCTGGGAGTAAACGAAGGATCACATCACAACTCTTAAGCAAAGTTAAACTGTCTGTTGGCTCGTTGGTGTAAAAAGAAAATTACTGTTACCCTGCAGAGGTTTTAAGAGGGATCAGCTGCAGTCCGGAGCGAGCGCCAACACAGCCATGGATGGAGGGATGGCATGTCTACGAGAAAGAGGGAAATTTAAAATGTCAACAACATGTTAAATTGTTGGTATAGAAATGGAACGATATGTCACAGTTGTGATAAACCGATGAAAAATGATTCGACAGTGAGGCTCAGACAGACCTGCTGCTAACCTGACAAAGTCATAAAACCTGGTTCACCTGAATATATTTAAAGAGAAACTACGAGTCCCAAAGATCAAAAATGGTTAAGATACAAATATTAAACAAACCTCTCACCAAACTGAACACTTTATCAGAAGATTAAATGCCTGAAGACCGCATAGAACTCCAAAAGTCTGTTATTCTTGGTGAATTGTCATGATAGCAGCATTTCTTTAACGTTCAGCTTTTAGTTACGTCATCAAATGACATTTATTGTGATTCAGCCTTTAACACAGGCTAGTTCAATGAGCCAGTGCACTGGGGGGTTTTCAGCTGATACGTGATTGGCTGACCTGGCGAATAGGCAGGTAAACAGGTGTTTCTAATCAAGTGTTGATGTGTCATCTGTGAAAATGCATCAACATGTCGCTTTTGTCTGAAAATAGATGAGCTTTCTGACATTATTTGAACTGGATAAGACAAATGTGATCGTCTATCAGGCTTGCTCCTCCAAAGACACGTAATAAACGGTGGTGTGGGTTTATATTCTTGATTCTAGCTTCAAAAATGTTTATCAAGTTAAATCGCTTGACTGGTTTCTGACAAAAACTTGTAAAATTATAAAACGAGAGATAAGATTTTAGGCCAATCTTAATCTCATTAGCTCTTCTTCTCCGTTACATATACTCCGTCCTACCTTTCAATTGCAGCGGACTGAACGACGACTAATAGCCTTGGTTTGTTAGCATTCCTTGGTTGCTTTGCTACATGCTAATAAAACAAACATTAAATCCCAGAGTAAGACCCTGTGAGGACGGGGTTGGAGGGAGAAAGTCGTTCCCTTTCGGCCGGTTAGTCCCGACTCCTCCCAGAAGGAAAACTGCGTTGTGTATTCCGTTATCTTTCTTCTTCCTCCGTGCGCGTGCCGGGATTTGAGCGTCATTTTGCGTCAAAACGTAAAGACGCTCCTCCGCATTTTGACTTTCCGGTTAAGATTTCAAAATAAAGGTGTCTTTGGATAAATCACGAATAAAAAGATATTACAAACTTTTTAGTAAAGATCAATCACTTTATATTCTTGTTAAACTATTTAACAGGTAATTTGAAAAGAATACAAGCGTATGTCCATTTTAAACATAAAATATTGCTTTGTCACTAATCAAGCTTTTTTTTTAAATAAATTACAAAAATAAAACATGCAGTAATTGCATGATGTTATATGCATAGCAAGTTTCTACTAGATAAGTTTAAATCAGAACATGAATGCAGGACTGCCAATTTTTTTAAAAAGTCTTGGGAGTGACATTCTCTTTTTTTTTTTTTTACTTTTATTTTTGAGTGTGTGTATGGGGGGGCAGAGACCATTGGGTTTGGCTAGAAGACACATTAGTCTGGCAGAGAAAAAAAACAAGTGAGATTAAGGAGGATTTCATTTTTCTGAGACAATTAATGTTCGCTATGTAAAGAACCCACTTGTTTTTTATGAGCTAAACATACCAAATGCATTGATGAAATGTAAAAATTAAATATTTTCATGTACCTGAAGTTTACATTCATTTTCACTGCTGAACAGTTATGTCACATTATGGGGACACAGACATACTATGTAAATCTGGTATTGCACAAGTATTTAACGCATAATGAGTATTTCATTGGGGTTATTGTGTACCAGGATAATGCCAGTACCAGTTAAACTGTAGTTATACACTTTTACTGCAGAGGGGATAAATGACTTACGGTAGCGTTCTGTTTTACATCTGGGATGTCTCAGTCTGCCTCTGAAGGAGCTGTCCATGGTCTCCACAGTAGAATGCAGCGGGTGGGAGTTTTTTTTTAAAGACGGATGTCATTTTTCCCAGCATCGTCCTTTCACGTGTTTCCCCAAATGAATCCAGTAGGCAGCTCAGAACCGAGCTGGCTTTGTGAACTAGCTTGTTCATTCTGGTCCTGTCAAACTATGCAGTTTAACACTCAATTAAAACCCATAATAAATATTAAATGGTACATTTTATTTTGAAGGAATCTACAAGAAGTGATAATGAGTTCTGGTTTAGCTTTACGACTGCTGCCTGTAGTAACTGCTTATTTCCAGCAGAGGGCAGAAAATTCCTTACCCTCAAAAGCCAGATACTAAGGAATTGAGTTCTGATGTTTCCATCCAATTCACCTAAAGTATGTGTTCATCAATCACATCAAAATACAGATTACAAGTAATTAAAAGTATTTAGACAAGGAGCAAGTTGGTAGCCCTGTGAATGGAGCAACCATTTTAATTCAGCTTAAGATTCTTGAATCCATCAGGGGTGGACTAATCCCTTCCCTGGGGGCCAGTATCAGCATGTTTTAGTTGTTTCCCTGCTATAACACACTTGACTCATATGTTCAGCAGCTCATCAGGCTCTGCAAAAGCCTGTTAATCACCTGCTGTTGTTGAAGCAGGGAAACAACTAAAACATGTTGGATACCTCCCTTGGGGAAGGGAGTTGTCTACCCCTGATCTAGAATGAAGCACTTCCATACATCTCCAGATAAACTTGAAGACTTATGAATTTGGTCTTTTTCAATAAAACAGAAGCTACAGGATTAGGATGGAAATGATACGGCATGAAATGACCCAACAGGAAGTTATTGATGAGATAAAAAGCCAAGTCGAAGATTAGCTAGCCAAAGGAATTTATTACACATTTTCTGCTGGATTTGGAAACTGCATTAAACATCAACTAAAGTATATTAAACCTTCAATTGAATACGTTTTAAACAGTGAAGGAAAAAAAAAAACATGTTTATTTTCAGAATTCAACAGGGTTAGACAGACCTGATGAGAAAACAAAGAGAAATCAGAATAAACAACGTTCTTACTTCATGAATTTGGAACTCCTTTGGTACTGACAATTCTTTAGAGGTAAAATATGCAGAAAAATATGAAACATTTAGCAGAATAAGCAGTTCCTAGGCCCGGGTGGGTTTTGGTTCTGTAACATGAACTGGGAGGGAAATGCATGCAGAGTGCCTTTTAGTTAGTAAACTAATTCACATGCAGCTCATCATGATTGTTGTTCTGCGAAGAAACAAGTTCAGAGGTAACGAGGTTCACAAGAACTGGCTTTTGTAACACATCAGGAAAACAGTGCATTTCAACATTTTCACTACTGAAAAACCAAATACTTCACTAAACTTTAGAAATTAGGTGAATTTTCTTCATCCCTGCATAAATGATGATTTCATTAAATGATTAACCAATTCAGAAATTAGAATTTATGGAAGGAAAAATACATTTTGAGATCAAGAACAAAATACTTCAACCTGTTTCACCAAATCTAAGAGATGCAATAACTGGCTAGGGAAATGACTTTTACCTAGCTTTACTTGAACATCGCTGTTGGTGCGCAGAAAACTGTTTTAAACTTTAAAATCTAAAATAATTGATGACGTTAACGAAGGATCATAAGATTAATGGAGTTCTCATTACAGACGCATGGATTTAAATCCTTGAACACTGCAGGCTAACAGCGTGCAACTAGTTTCTCTTGCTTTACACAAAGTTTAATCCAACGAGCCAATCACTGTCAGAGTCCATTTCAACTCTCGTCCTGGCACTTTTTTATAACATGGAAACATATTTGGTTGCTCATCACTCCACATTACGCTCCGCCCCATTAAAACCGTAACATCCAAAACAAAACACAGCTGCCCAAACACCAGGAAGTTCAGAAGTCTGCACCCAAAAACAAATCAAACCGACAAAAAGTCAAGTATAAAACTCTGGGACACACTGTTCCCGATAAGCTGTTCCACCCGTAAGTGAAATATGAGAGACACTGCTCTCGATAAATACACAACATACAAAACTAACGCACAAAGTGGTAGGCAAAAACTACCGTCAGATCATCATTATGGAAGGCACTGCTCCCGATAACGTTACTTTTCTCCGACGTAAACTGTGCAACATAAATGGTTTAAATGCAAATTATGGAGCCAGTTTAGTTAATTGTGCCAAAACCGAACACTAGGGTTGGGCATCGAGCATCGATTGGAACCGGTTCCAACTGTTAGTTTTTCCCAGAATCGTTCAAAGTTTTTAATTTCGATTCCTAGTTTTGATTCCTAGAATGCCGACCGGAAGAGGAATCCGCGGCCGGTCTCCGTGAAAAATTAAACGTGACCTGCAAATTGTGTTCAACGCTTTTCAGAGCCGATCACACCAGCTGTCTGTGTGCAGCACGAGTCCCCCCTCCCCCCACCCGGATATAAACAAACGCGTCTGCCGAACTTTTACTCTGTAATGTAAACTTTAACTCCTGCAGCGTGGAGGAAACTTGTTAAATACGTCAACACGGTGGATTTAATAGAAGCTTTAGAGAACAAACTCTGGCCGGTGTGAGGCGAGTTTGTCTCACTGCAGAAATAAAAACACACACGGAGCGTCGGCAGTCAGACGCAGCAAGCTACGTTTAAGTTTCACTTCCTGTTCTGACTGAACTCTGCTGCAGCATGGAGGTGTAGTTCTCCGTCATCCTGGATATGATCATCCTGAGAGTTTTAGCTGAAAACAGCTGGACGTTCCTGGATATGTTGGAGACATTTAGCCTCTCATCCCGGAGGCTGCTTCCACACTTTGGTTGTGGTCAGAAACAAACACACTGGTGGTGCTGCAAGTCTGTTTCTTTTTGTCTCCAAAACACGTTCTAGTCTAAATGAAGGCGATGTTGTTGTTCATAGAATTAAAATTCATGTTGCAGTTAAGATTATTTCATCAAGTAGGACCTGTGGTTAGCTGGCTCATGTTAAACATGTCATGTCTTGAAAGAATCGGAATCGATAGGAACCGGAGTCGAAACGAGGAACTGTTCAAAATCAAACGATGCCCAACCCTACTGAACACTGTGTGCTCTTTTTGTTTGACCATATTTAAAGTTTCCAATCCTAATTTGGATATTTATTTCTCCCAGCTTGTGCAGATATGAAGCAGCAGCAGCAGCCGAAGCCTAAAGCTACACAAACGGGAGAATTAGCCACCAGTTCAGGTTCAGCTTCGGCAACAGTTAAGGAGGTTGTTTAGTAGCAGATGCTGCTGTGGCTTTCGACAGTATAACCGTCATAATTATGGAAGGCACTGCTTCCGATAATGCTGCATTAAAACAAAAGACTGATAATAAATATAGTGGGCACTGCCACTGATAAATATATAAAAAGTATAAATAAGGTTTCAGTGCTGTTGGCAGGAGACTGCAGCCTGTTCAGCATGCTGACGGAGTAGGACTGGTCAGTACTTCTATTATTCAAGTATCTGGTGATGCTTCAGTTTTTCATTTTTTCCCAACTGAATTTTAACAATTAAAGAAAAATGTTAATCTAACCCTGAATTAAGAAGGAAAAGGTGTGTTTAGTTTGTGCTTCAGGTGTTGATAATTTAGCACTCGAGTTCATTTTAACAACCTTCACTCCCGTTTTAGATCTCATTGTCGATGTCCCAGATGTTCCCCACCATGGCGTTGGCACATCCCTGCAGGGTCCAGGTTGCCAGGGCCAGCTGGGTGCGGAGCTGCTCCGTGTCGTTGGTTTGGGCGATGGACGCCAAGGTGTGAGGACCGTGACCGAGCAGGATGTGGCGGAAGGGAGTCTCAACCGGGGACATGTACGGGGAGATGAGAGAGTGCTCAACCTGAAGAAAGAGGTTTTTATTTTCGTTTTAAAACCTCATCGCAACGAGAAAAGCCATCTTTAAAAATTCCACTAAATAAAACAACTAATCGTGTATCAAACACACTGAGGTTGGGAGTTTGGATGGATCATCGACCATCTGAGCCTTTCGCGGATCCGTTTTTATGCGTATGAATTAGTTTAGCTGATGGGAAATTACAACAGCTCTTCTTAACTTCCTCCCTTTCAGGATTCTATTGACACTTTGCACGTGACGTCACGCCACTCATGGGACCGCCCCGTTCGCCATGATGGGCGGCATAAAGACGTTTACACACGTCGAAACTCCGGTGAAGCTAGTCAAAACAAGCCCGTTTGTAGTCTTATCGCTTTTAATTAGTTGGTTTCACAGTAAAATGGTAACTTGCTACGTGGCCGGCTGCACTAACAGACAAGGATGTAAAGTCAGCTTGTTTTGATCGAGACTGAGGACGGAGATGAACTGCAGCGATCAAACGGACTAGCAGCCCTCAGGTTTACAGTGAACGTGTTTTTACCGGCTGAGGTTAACGTTTATTTATTTCATGACGAAGACAGGGAAAGGGACAAATGTGATGCGTTCTTCTGATGGATGGATATTCCACCATGGAGGACGCGCGGTACCGCTGTACTGTCCACTAGTTACAATATTGCTCCAATGTATGATTACGTGTGTTAAAATTAGGTTATTTAGTACGAGCGTCGCCGTTGAGAGATCCTGTCTCATCCCGGTGTGAGAGCGGCAGCTGAACACGCGGTGGCACCACCAGTAACAAAAACTAGTAGGGATCCGGACTTTTTTTTTTTTTCAAATCAGCTTCGGTGTAAAGTGAAACGCTGTTTATAACATAAGGTTATAAATCCAGTCGGGTGAATTTAGGCAAAGTAGGCAGCTTGTTTACATCGGTGAACAGCTGCAAAGAGAACTTAAAAGGGGCATTATGGAAGTTTGACAGCCAAAACATGTATAGAAATAATAAATGTCTTCTTCATACATTCTCCTGCAATGTCCTGGTCCTGTAGAATGAGCCCTGGCATTTTTACTGTGATTGCCTGTTTTTCTGTAAAATCACAGAAAAGAGAGATGCTCGGGTCGAGCAGGCTGCTTCATGCGCGTTCACGCTCAGACATCGCCCGTAGCATTTGCTATCCGTAGCCTTAGCAGCAAAGAGAGAGGTAGTGCCAACTCAGCGACTTTGTCGCTGTTCCTAACGCCTAGTGATGCACCTAGCTACATTTCTGAGGACCCTTAGCTACTTTCTACTAGATATTTCCTGCAAATTAGCAACAAAATAGCCATTTTCGCTCCAAACCGTTCTTTGAACATTGTTTCAGATGATATAGATACAAAAAGTGTCACTCGTGCTATAGCTCACTCAGTTAGATGGCGGACTCCCGTGCGGAAGACCCAGGTTCGATTCTGGATGTGAACTTAGTTTATTTTTTACATTAATGGTACCCCCACACACACACAGGGCTGTCTCAGCTGTTATTTTCGTTAAGGAGTGTGCACGTACAGCATGCGCACCTCGTGCACGAGCCTACTATTGAAGCTGCCATTATGCTTTTGGCCTGAGGGGGCAATCGCGAGCATAAAAATTCAAAACTCCGTCCCTTTAAGCTAACGTTCGTAAGCTAGTTAATAACACTTAACTTTTGTAAACACCACTCTCTATGAGCCCCATCTAGGTGCGCTACTTCTTCTGATAACTGAACATGGGCTTGAACTAGTAGAGGGAATGCTGAAGATCGCAAAACAATTTCAGGCTCTACTTTTCCCGTTGTTTAGTACTCGTGTCGCTCACTGTTTACATGCTTTTGCCGTCCAGCATGGCGGACCCATGTGATTAGGTGACGTAGGTGCAAAGCTGCTCAAACATCAGAAGGACTAACAGTTTGGGCAAAAACTCTAAAACCTGAATATATGAACTTTAAAACAATAAAAGAAGTTCTCTTACACTCATGATCCTGTCATTGAGAATCCGACAGGCCTCTGGGTCACTTAAGTCCGTTTTGTCGATGGCGAGTTTGATGCTTCCGGCTGCTCGCTGGAACGAACCTCGAGCCTGATTCAGCCAGCTGGGACTAACACCCTTCAGCTGACCAGACTACAACATGATCATCAAAAGCAGAAAACGTTCCGGTTAACATCCCAACAAAGGAAACCTTCTGAATTACGGAATGTCGTGTGTGAGGGTTCCACCTGCGAGAGCTGATTGACGCGAATGTAGATCTGCCTCACGGCGGTTGAGAGGCCGTCGTATCGACTCACGTCCAGATACAGCAGGTGGTCGTGGACCAGCTTCAGAGCCATCAGACCGGCAAACTTTGCCGCCGTGGCGGTGATCTCACTGGTGTGCTGGTTCGTTTGGTAATTGAGATGATCCATGTTGTCCAGGTTGGTGCCATAGTAAGGGTAGGCCTCGGTCTAAAAGGACCCAACACCCCCAAGAGTTCAGTAAATGAACACAACAAGAAAATCAGCTCTGATCGTTTGTTGTTTAGCACCAAACAAAGTAACCGTTTACTCATTCGCCGCCAGCGTTTCTCACCGTTTTTACTGTTTTTTAAGAGCCACAGAACGTTGTGCTATAGGAATATGTCGACGCCAAAACAAAACGAGGAGACTCACCTCTTACATCAGGAAGAATCCGCGCGTTTTGAGCGCTATCCGTTCTTTCATAATCCGTTGTTGAATTGTGATCGGCAGAAGCTTTTCCGGTTCGCGCCTCACTTTTTACAGCAGCGGCCCAAAACGATCTCCTGACTTAATCGTTTTCAGTCCTAACAGTACCACGGCGACTCATCATCCTGACCTCAACTATCTCTCACCTAATGTATCCTCTGTAATCTCCAACCTTGGAGTTAAAATGGACCAGGCTCTGAAGATGGATGCCCAGGTCAATAACAGTTAAATCATGTTTTACCAACTAAGACGCATCTCGAAACTAAAGCACATCCTGAGTGTCCGTCTTCTGAAATCGGTGGTCCACACTTTCATCACCTCAAGGCTGGATTACTCCAACTCCTGCTTATACGGCATCAGTAAAGCAGCTCTCTCTAGACTTCAGCTGGTCCAGAATTCAGCAGCTAGGTTCCTGACTGGAGTGGACAGAAGACAACACATTTCTCCAATTCTGAAATCTCTCCACTGGTTGCCCGTGCAGTTCAGGATAAACTTCAAAATTATGCTTCTCACTTACAAATCCTTGAACCATCAAGCTCCTCCATATCTGTGTGAACTTGTCCATTACTACAACCCGCCGCGTGCTCTCAGGTCTGAAGATAAGCTCCTCCTAGCTGATCCCAATGCTCGTTTAAAAAGCCGTGGAGAGAGGGCTTTCTCTGTCTGTGCACCCAAGCTGTGGAACGCACTACCACTGCTAGTGAGGCTAGCACCAACAGCTAGCATTTTTAAATCACGCCTGAAAACTCACTACTTCAACCTAGCTTATACCACATAATTATGAACCTCACTCACATCTGCATTGTTTAAAAATGGAATTCACAATATCAACTTCCTTATTATTCTGGTTCTTTTTTAAACTGTTTTTCTAATTTTTATTCTCCCTGTGTCTTATTGATTTCTAGCTGTTAGTTCTGGAATTTTGTTGTTTTTCCTTTTTATCTTTTATCGGTGTTCGACATGATTGTATAATTTTTTGCCGGTTTAATTAACTAACATTTTTAGTGTACAGCGCCTTGTTTGGTTGTCATGCCTTATTGAATGCGCTTTACAAATAAAATTGGATTGGATTGGAACATGAATGTTCTGCTTCCTGATCACGTGACGTGTGACTTATGTGGCTGAAGATCGGCTTTAGAGCTGAGATGTTTGTTTTCACGGTGCGGGGGCTCGTTCCGACGCCCACACAGTAAAAAAAAAAAATGCAAATGACGACTTTAGTCGTCATTGGCAGTGAATGAGTTAAATATTTAATTCTGTGCATCCATCGAGACTGCAGGTACCACAGGTCACCAGCAGGTGGCAGAGCTGTGCGGTTTAGTAGTGATTGTAATTATTTTTATCACAATATAAACAAACAGATAAAAATGCACACAGAAACAATTATAACAAATCTAAGAAATAACACGTAACACTGGGATATTAGCAGACACCAGCTAATTAAATTCATTCTGCTTGGTTGACAGGTCACATTAAGAACACGTGAATGCACAGTTGCTACAAAAGCAGAGAAGAGCTGCTACGGTGGGCCTTTAGGTCCAAACAGGGAGGGGAATGCTTTTCCAGCAAGTGTGCATGCTTGGAAAGAGATCTGAACAAAGAGCCAAAACGTGTGTGGCAGTCTTTAAAACTATGGAGTCTATTTTTGTCCTCAACAGCCATCTCTACGTGCACCAGCTTTTAAAACACAAGACGGTTGAGATTTCCCTTCAGAGGAAAGTACAAAATAATTTTAATAATTGCTTCTGTAGTCAAACTGAAACATAAATTCTGATTATTTGCACGGCCGTTGGATGCTAATAAGCAACTTACTAAATGCTGAACACAGAAAATTGTGCTATATAAATAAAGTTTTGTTTGACTGAGAAAACACCAGTTAATACACGATGAGAAGAAACTCACATCCACAGAGATGAAATGGAAGGAGATGGAGGGAATTCCAGAGAAAGCCAAGAACGGGTAGGCGGGGTCGTCCATCGACATAGGTCTCAGTCTGCAGGCGGTAGAAATATTACAAAGCAGAACATTTTGTTGGTGTTGAGTACAGATAAAACCTTTCAAGAAGAAATAAATGCAGCCAGACATTTTGACATTAACTTCCTACTTACACTTTAGCCTCCCAGTCATTGCCTCCCATCGTTTGGTACATTTTGTCAGAACCAAGAGGTCCCGTCACCTGCAAGAAAGAGGAAGTTTGAGCTGCTTTGTGTCGAAATGAGATCTTGACTGAAGCTTTGTTTTACCTCGTTCATCGTGCTCCCGATGAGGCTGTAGAGCAGCGGACTTGCTGAGGCTATGAAGCTTCCGTGACCTATTGAAAACATACATTTCATCAACTTAAGGGGCGATTTTTGAACAAATGAATGATTGTACAAATGTATTTGGTGTGTACCCATCACTACTCCATCCAGGCTTATGTAGGTGAAGACATTTTTGTCAATCGAAGACATGTAACCCTGAAAACAGAGAGGTTTCAGCACTTTTATCACAGAGAAGCGTTTCTATCTCCAAATACCGAGGAAGGTAAAATGGGATCTTTGTGATATTCGGAGGTTCAGGTTTAGCTGCGTTTCCACTGCTGCATCTGTTTGGTTTGAAGTTTGATAAAAGCTGGTTCGACTTGGATCAGCGGCCAGAAGATATGGTCAAGGAGAGGTTTTCCTTGAAGGGTGACTGGGCTCTCCCTTATAGATGGGGTGAGAGGCTCAGTCATCCGGGAGGGGCTCGGAGTAGATCTGCTGTTCCTCCACATCAAGAGGAGCCAGTTGAGGTGGCTGGGGCATCTGGTTTGGAAGCCTCCCTGATGAGGTTTTCCGGGCACGTCCAACCAGGAAGTGACCTGAAGGAAGACCTAGGACACGCTGGAGGGACTACGTTTCTCATCTGACCAGGGAACGCCTTGGGATTCCCCCGGAAGAGCTGGCCCAAGTGGCTGTGGAGAGGGAAGTCTGGGTCTTTCTGCTTAGGCTGCTGGTCCCGCACTTCAACATAAATGGTGAGCGTCTCATCTCATAATAAAGATAACATGTACGTCATTCCTTAACCAAACGCTAACTTGTCCGCTTCTTACCTCCAACCACTCGGTGGCACCAACACTTCCATATTCTCCAGCACTCCAGCTTGCAAATACCAGGCTTCTCCTGGGTCGGAACCCATCTAAGGAAATCCAAAACAAGCTCAAATAAGTCTGAAAATACAGTAATGGAGAGAGACCTCTTTCTTCTTCTACAAAGCTTACGCTCATGGCACCAAGCTTACGACAAAGCCAACATCTTACCTTTCTCCACCATCTCATGGAAGGCCTTGGCCAGCTCCACCAGCACAGAGGTGCCAACAGTGGCTTTGGCATAACCTTGTCCCCAAGCGTCTCTCTGAGCTCCCAGGACAATAAATCGATCTGCAGCAAAAAGAAAAACAGCCATCCATGGTACCACATCTTCAAAATATAAACCAAGTCCTGGATAAAAGAAATCAGACGTACCGGGATCAGAGAATCCTTTAATCACTCCAAACACATTGTGGATCTCCTTGTTGACCAACATGTTGTTTACCTCAACAGTGATGTTCTTAATGCCTCCCAGCTTGTAAAACACAGACTCGAGTTGACCTTTAAAGTTCCTGCCAGCATCAGGACCACCGATTTTCCTGCAGAGGATGGAAGAAGGGTTTAAATGTTGTGAAGAGTAAACCGGGTCCTTCTGCGCTGGGCTGTTAGGTAGGAATCTTACTGGAGAAGAGCTGAAGCTGTGTTAGGGGTGATGGTCTGAGCTGGGATTTTGGGGAGACCGGAGGACTTTGTTGGAGCGAACTGGGTGTGGTTAAAGGAGGGGAATCCAGGGGTGTAGGGGTCACCTGAGCCCAGATGGACCTGGCAACACAATCAAAGATATTGTGTGACTTCTGGCTAAAAAAACTAACTTTCCTGACTGCTGGGCGTGTCCGAGTTAACACGCAACAACTCACATGTCCATAAAGTTCAGTGGTTGCGACGAGTTTGTAGTCTTGAGGATCGGGGTAGATTAGAACAGCAATGGCTCCCTTCTTGGCAGCATTGTCCACCTGAAGAAGCATCATTAGAAGAAGAAATTAGCTTTTATTTCCTCGTCAAACGTCTTTGAGGAACTAAAACTTTCCCTTGTAAGAAAAACATTTTTTCGTCCTTGTTTAAGCCATCGTCTCTTCTCCTGAGAACCGTAAGTGTAGAAACACCTGCTGAGCAAAGCTGATCTTTCCGGCACGCAGCAGCAGCACAGAACCTTCCAGGTCGACGCTCTGCTGCACAACGGTCAGATCTTCTTGACGACCGTAGTTTCCGTAAACCAGTCGGCCCTGAAAACGCAACAAAGAGATTACTGGACACTCAACACATCTCACCTTATGGGGTTTTTCCTGTGTTCAAATATGCATGCCGCCCCAGCCTGATTTCACTTTGCCCTCAGCCATATGGATGTTATTTTAACTGCAGTTGCAGCGTTGCGCCACTACAGGGGCGCTGTATCAGCAGCGGTTCACATAAAAGCGCTAAAACCGCTGCAGGAAAAGATCAAAAATGGCTTCTCTCATTAGTTGGTACATATGTATGGTTGGTGCTGTTGACGTCCTGATTTCCCCCCAGGCTCTTCCACATCAGAACAGGGCTGTAACTGTCTGTGCGTGTCTGTCTATTTTTAAACGTAGCACAGGTGCAACATCTTTGAATTACTATATTCCCCAGAACTTTATTGAACAAAAGTAAGTTACGTGTAAGAAAAATGCTTTTTACTGGCGCACAGTGTGGTCATCTGGATGCAGTGGAGGAAAATACAGGAACCAGCAAAGGCAGAACCGGTCCAAAGTTTGGGATCAAAACTGCAGCTACACGCAGATTGGCTAATGCTAAAGCTAACGGGTAGCAGTCTCACGATCAAGTGGCGAACAGAAAAATATACGATGATCGTAAAACTAAGAAAGACTAAACTCTACAAGCGGATGAAAAGCCCCCACCATCCTGATTATTCTGCATCCTGCAGCGCTACGGATCAGAACCGCTGCAGATACGAGTCACATTCCTGCTACAAGTCTGCTCCACACACAGGAGCAGCAAGTAGGCAAGCCGTTGTAGTATATAATTCACAAATGCTTCTATCTTTGAACATAATTTGAACTGGATTATTGCCATCCCGTACATAATAGACATGCCACCATTACATTGTTAGCAGCAGAAATTAAATGTTATTACCATTTCCAACACAAATGCATGTTAATGAAATGCTTTATATTTTACTGGATATATTTATGTGTTATTTTGACTAAGATGAGTGTTATTAATACAAACCTGAAATCTTACTGAAATGTAGGTCAAATATTAAAAAATATTTAAAACTATAAATATCAGATGGGAAAAGGGGAACTAAACACCAATTTAATGCATATTAATAAGCCTTTCATAATAAGAGTCTGTTATTTCAGCCTGATAATTTTGTTGTTTTATTTCATATTTTTAGCAGAAAACCAGTTATGTTTCACTTGAAACGTTGTCAAATGAAATATTCTATTAATCCACAGAAGCTCAGATTAGAACACTTAACGAAAAAAATATTTGGCCTTTAAAAAGGTGAGGCAGTTGAACACACAGAGCATGCATGTGCTGGCGACGCGTATGGTCAGGATGGTACCATCTCTGCCTCAATTTGAGCCAGGAAAAACCCTGTTACTGCTAAAAAAAAGTCAAGACACATCAGAACCTTCAGTTCTGAAATGATCGGACTCAGTAAAACTAAACTTAAGGTTTGTCTGGATCCTCCACAGGCATGACCACTCACAGCCAACATTAGAAAACAACCAGCACAAGCTGTGGCCAAACAGTCAAAACAAGTCAGAAAGATTTGTCAATTTGACGCTTGAATGCTTAAGATTATTACGGACTAAATAAAATATTAGGACAGTTATGTGCTAAATGTCGCACGTAAAGCACATTTAAAGCCATTCGTTGAGTTTCAGACTCACCTGAGCTCTGCCAGTCCCGCTGTAGGCTAGATACCCCTCAGGTTTAAAAGCATCAGAACCAAACTGGATGGTATTTGGACGGTTGCTGCAGAGAATTAAAACCAAATTCATAAATTAAATATGATACACATAATTATACATGATTAGGGTTGTCACGGTAACCAGTGTAGCGGTAAACCCGGTAAAAAAGTTGACAATAATAACCGTCTTGTTTTTTAAAAAATATTTTATCTCGGTGGATTACCGTCTCTGCGGTGTAGGCACGGTGACCCTTACCAGCCACCGTATCATCTGCTAATGTTGCCGGCGGCACACGTGCACTTTGTTGTTTACAACCAAAACTTTCTTGAAACTAAAGCTGAAATAATGGCCAAAGGAGGAGACGGCAGCACTCAGGACATTTATAATCCCTCAAAGAAAACAAAATGGAAAGTATGGGCATTTTTTGGATATCTGAAGAATGCCGAGGGACAGTTGATAGAAGACGGCTATCCTGTTTGCAGCACGTGCAGTAGGGCTGCACGATATTAGGAAAACCTGCGATATTCGATAACAGTAGGGCTGCAACAAACGATTATTTGGATAATCGATTAATCGGATGGGGTCTCGACACGATTAATCGATTAATCGGATTAAATGGGGAAATTTTTAAAAACTGCTAGGGAAACTTTATTTCTCTCCTTCCTTCACTTTATTTAACACAACATTATTAGAAAACAGTTCAATAGCAGAAAAACAACATGCCATCACCTAAATTGTCTTATAAGGTGTATAGACAGATCCCCTAAGCTACATCTATCTGTGACCTAAAATGCTTGGTCCAAGTTAAACAGCTTAAGGGCAATTCTCATCTGTTTTGTTTGATCTCATCAGTTGACATTTATTTTAAATGTAATTAAACATAGGCTGTGAATTAATCAAAATTGATCACTATTTCCAAAAATGACTGAAAAAATACCAAATAAAACAAAAGTAAATGAATGCCATCCTCCTTGCGATGATGCCCTGGGCAACTGCCATAAAGTCACATCAAGAAATGCTGCTGATCATTCCAATGATCCCAAATAGACTCACATTAGGCCACATGAAAGCAACTGAACCCAAAAATATATTAACCAGTATATAACTGCACTCTCACACAACACGCCTGCAGCAACAGTTAGAACTCCTCCCTCCCTTTTAAAAGCGTTTTTGCTTCTGAGGACATTGTGGTTGTAAAACCACATGCTAGTAGTCTGGCCCCGGTGTGATCAACCAGTTTCTGCGGGAATGTGACGGCGGAACCAGGGCCAGATTAACACTTTGTTGTACCCTGGGCAACAATATTCAAGGGCTCCATCATCACGACCCGAGGATCACCATAATGTGGTCACATACAGAATATTTTACTGTAATATGCAGTAAATATACTCAATACTTGAATGCCTGACAACACGTAACCTGCCCAGAGTAACCTTTGACCCACCTCATGTGGACTGACCAATGAGGAGAGGGTCTTAACTTGAGGCCCTCTCTTCATTGGTCAGTCTGCATGAGACTGACTCTCAACTGACATTCAAAGTCGTAGGCAGCGAAGCGTCTCTGTGCAGTGCAAAAGCCCGGGTGGACAGTTTGTTTAATGTAGGGTGACCATATTTCCATTTCCAAACAAGAGGACAGGGGATCTGTGCCTATGACGTCACACTATGGCAACGCCACACAAACCATGTTGGGACCCATTTTTTGTAAGAACTAAATTAATATCAGATTCTGCCAATAAAAGGGCTCTAAAACAATTCATATGTAAATATTTTGCATATTTAATGCAAAATCTAATTTTTATGCTTTAGTGCTGCAACAAGGTTTTATTAATAATAAATTATTATACCTTTTGTATTACTACAGCATTGGTAAGCTTCCTGTGCACAGATTATTAAGGATGCTTGTTTCAGCTGTGAGATTAGACGATAGGATCAATGAAAAAATAAGTTGTCACACACTCCATGGAAACTTTCAGAGAATCCACAAATAGTGGCTTTCAAATGGTTTTGTTACTTTTTGCAAGTTTATAAAAGAAGCAGATGAGACAGCATGTCTGATAATTTAGTTTTTCATCTGATAATATTAGAACATGTCAGTAATGTCTGAGGGGCTTTTATAAACACTGTATAACTAACACTCCTGGAGAGGGCATGAATTACACAGAGGCTTCTGGGGAGCCCAGTTATGGGGGGGGGGGGGGCATTTTGCCTCGGCCCCCAAAATGTCTTGAAACGGCCCTGGGTGTGTGACTGAGTTTTGAAGGTGATCTGAATTGTATCAGATGTATAAATATGACATGTGTATAACTTATTGTTTTTTACTGGTAAAAACGTGTCGTGGAGATAAATCTACCTACATTTGACTTTTCAACACTTTGTTTTGTTTTCTTGTTTTTATTTAACTATTTTCCTGTCCTGTCTGTCTCTCATCTTCCTGCATCTCCTCATAATTCTCCAGAAAATCTGTTGCCTGGATTCTTACCTTTTCACCTCATCAGTTACTTTTGAGCAGATCAAAGGGATCTCCTGACCGCAAAGCGCAGAGCGCGTTTTCGATGCTGCGTGAGGTGACATCACCACAGCACAGGTGATGAGCTCCGCAGTAGCGCACTTCAGGCACAAATAAGACAGAAAATAGAGAACATGTGCAGACAAGAGCGATCGTGTGCTAATTATAGTTTTTTTGTTGCGCCACTTTGAGAATGGACCGTGCGCTGGAAGCAGCTGCCTGGATCGCTGCGCAAGAACGCGGAACCGGTTCGCAGCAGCGCAAGTCTGCCGGCTCTCCCTCGCGCTGATCTGCCGGCTCTCCCTCGCGCTGATCTGCCGGCTCTCCCTCGCGCTGATCTGCCGGCTCTCCCTCGCGCTGATCTGCCGGCTCTCCCTCGCGCTGATCTGACTTGCTCTGGTCTGCGCGCAACGGCGGGCGGGAAGGGGGGGGGGGCGCTTTTGGAAGAGTTGTGCGACACAACGAATCGATGACGCAATTCGTTGCCAATGCTTTTAGTAATCGATTTTCATCGAATTTATCGATTCGTTGTTGCAGCCCTAGATAACAGTGCTTAATATTGCGATATTACTCACGATAAATGAACAAATACTAAAGTATGCAGTGTTGATGTCGTCTGGCGTGTGACGTCTGCTCTGGGTTCAAAGCAAACAAAAACTAATGCATGAATTCCATTACAACATAACATTTTATTGCAAAAATATGCAGCTGCACCTGCTACTGTATTAGCAGCTGCACCTGCTACTGTATTAGCAGCAAAACAACAAACTGCATGCATGCAGTTTCTCAGTGACTTTAAAACATCACCTCCACCATAAAACTTTTTCTGATGCTCCAAATACAGAAAAACATCCCTTACCAGGGTTTTTGAATAAATAAAGATATCAGAAAATAAGTGTTAAATAATAGTTAACATCACTTAAATGCAACAACAAATTCTCTCATTGCTACTGAGCATTTTCTCCACTTCTGTGGTTATGATATAAGGCTGTTGCTGCTATTGGGAAGTGAACTGTGCTGGGCCAAACTAGGAGAATATTAAGATTTTCTGAGGGAAAGAGAAAAACAATTGTCTACCTTTCAGAAGAGGAACTGGCAAAATAACTACATGGAAAATATGTGAAAACGTTTGTTTTTAACCCCAAATTGAACAAGTTTACCTAGATCTTAAAAAGCAGCTCAGATGATGAAACTGCAACTATGATTCTGATAACAAGCTAACTAATTGAACTAGCTCCTCTTAAGATAACCGGCTAGCAGAGCTTCTGACTGACAGTTTATGTGCAGCAGCAAATCAACTATCCTGATTAACAAGGTTATAAAAGCTCATAAATGAAAAATCCCTGATATGTGGGGGAACTTTTCCAGGCCCTCTTTAGCAGGGTGGGAGTGTTGTAGCCTTTTAGCTGGAAGCTAACCGGAGCCCGGGGCTAACATCACCACCCGGTGGAACACTAGCGACATGGAGGTGGGTTGGTTCACCGGCACGTGTCGGGAGTCAGCCCGGTAAAAATGACTAACGACACCGAGCGGAGTCGCGTTCACGTTTGAAAGCAGCGCTGAATCCAGAAACCTCAGCACAAAGTGCGTTCGTTGCTCTGAGCCATCATGACGAACAAGGGAACGGCACCGCTAACTCAGTTCGGGTCGGGTGTTGCTTTCCATCCCAAGGGTCTACGTAGGGGGCGGGCGTTTTACGTGAACGGGACCATCTGATTGGCCGCATATCAGAAGGGCTACATGTGATTGGTCAAATAATATGCATAAAAAACAGCTGGTTTACAAAAAGTTGATGTATGACACGGATGGAAATGTTGAACCAAACATTTATCGCCGTTTTTGGCGTGCTTTGCAGATGGGCCTATCGCACGTACGGTTATCGCGATGACGATAATTTTTCGATATATTGTGCAGCCCCTAAGGTGCAGGAAAAAGTGTCTGTGAAAGGCAGCAACGCTTCATATCTCATGACACATTTGCGTGACCACCACCCACAACTCTACAGTCAACGCAAGGCAAGCTAACGTTAGCGTTTTAGCTAAAATGCGTGATCCGAGGATTTGGGTTGAGGGAGAATGTAACGAGTCGCTATATAAAGCAGCCGCAGCGCCGCTACCTGCATATTAACCGTGTCGCGGACACCCCCATGTTGAAATGACGCTATGCATTACGGGGCTCCCAGGGGCAGATAAGAGTTGGTCTCTCTCCGAGAATAATTACGAATTTAACAACGATTACTGCCTGATGACATTTTCCCACATCTGCAAAGCTCACTGGAAGGACACAAGCCGAGGACGATATTTTCCTGATATAGGGTTTATTACTCAAGTAAGTAAAACTTTATTTATAATGCACTTTTCACAGATAAAATCACAAAGTGCTTCACAACATACATAAAAAGGTAAAACAGGACAGGAGCACAAGGTCAACTTACATAAAAGCTTGTCTACATATAAGTGTCACAGTAAGGGTAAAAAAGTATCTGATCAGAAGGCTACTTGAGTACTAAGTATCATCTGATGTAACATTTTTAAATTGATGACATCAAACAGACAAAAAATAAGAAGTTATGGGCAAATATTGGTATTTTAAAGACTAAAAGGAAAAAATGTAAACAAATAAACAACATAATTACAAAATAACTAATTTTAGGCTAAATTTAGACACAAACTGAGGACAATATTTTCCTGATATACAGGGTTTATTTTGAAAATGTAACACGTTTACAAAAATAACGCGATAATACCGAAAACCGTGATAATTTTGGTCACAATAACCGTGAGGTTAAATTTTCACACCGTGACAACCCTATACATGATATTTATCGTTTCTACGACACTAAATTCTGAGGAAACCGGTCAGATTATCAAGCTGTAATAAAAACCAGACCATAATACCAACCTGTCTGGCTTCTGCAGCTGAACATAGTGAATGTCTGTCCAGGGCTCCATCTCCAGGGTCTTGAATGTGTCAAAGATGCGGTTACCCAGGCGCGCGTCTTCCTCACTTCCTGCTGAGCGACTGGGACGATCAAAGTCCCTGCAGGGGACATAAATGAATACACATTATGTACTCTTTGCACCAATCGGGGGAAAATGTAAGACAGAACAATACAAAAATGAGTGCACACTTCCCAACTCTAGATTTATGGAAGCACAGAGCAGAGCTGCCACCCAGGCTAAATAGAATTAGGTCCATGTCATGTTCAGGGTTTCCTCCAGCGCTTTAGAAGCCCCGTGGTCCGCCAGACCAAGCGTCCACCCCCCACCCCTTCTGGCACGGACGACAGACGATAGCAGAATAATCCGTGTACCCAGTACCCGTGTAAGTGACGTGTGACGTAATAAGACGGGTTTTACACACGAGCTCCCTTCTTACCAGGAGCGTTCCAGATGCGCATCGGCAGCAAAAGCCTTCCATGCAGCGAGTCCCACAAGGTCATGAAATCACGGGAGAATTGCAACACCACGCGTGATTTCACAAGTTCACACAATAACAAGCAAGGAGAAAGACAACGGCATGTATCCAAGAAGGTCTGAGGTTTATTTTCTGTTCTGTCTACCTTGGCTACACGGGTTTCACAGGAAATGGCACTTTATTAAAATAGTTAAGCAACAGGAAATCTGCACCTAACTTTTATTTTGAAATGTTTATACGATGCTTTCATGTTTGACTTCCTGTTTGGCCGAACTGCAGAGTTTGACGTGTTCTGGAAGCGTAGTGCGTAAAATAAATTCAAAGCTCAAGCAACGTGTCACTACGGTTCCAAAAGGTGACGCTTCGCTGTCGTTGGAAACAAACTCATCGTAGGGTGGGCATCGAGCATCGATTGGAACGGTTCCAAATGTTAGTTTTTCCCATAATCGTTCAAAGTTTTTTATTTCGATTCCTCGAATGCCGACCGGAAGAGGAATCCGCGGCCGGTCTCCGTGAAAAATAAACGTGACCTGCAAATTGTGTTCAACGCTTTTCAGAGCCGATCACACCAGCTGTGTGTGTGCAGCACGAGTCCCCCCTCCCCCCACCCGGATATAAACAAACGCGTCTGCCGAACTTTTACTCTGTAATGTAAACTTTAACTCCTGCAGCGTAGAGGAAACGTGTTAATACGTCAACACGGTGGATTTAATAGAAGCTTTAAAGAACAAACTCTGGACGGTGTGAGGCGAGTTTGTCTCACTGCAGAAATAAAAACACACACGGAGCGTCAGAAGGCTGAACAATAACCTCTGTTCATTGAGCTCCACTGGCTACCGCTAGCAGCACGCATCAAATTCTAATAGCTAACACTAGCATACAAAGTCCGAGACGGTACAGCTCCCATCTACCTGAATCCTCTTGCAAAGGCTTACGTCTCGGCCCGGCCGCTCCGGTCATCACAGGATCGTCGGCTAGCAGTGCCTACACCACGCTCAGGACAATCCAGACTCTTCTCATGCATCGTTCCACAAATGTGGAATGACCTCCCAAGCACTACCAGAACAGCGGCTTCCTTTTCAATTTACAAGAAACTCCTGAAGACCCTGCTCTTCAGAGAGCATCTTCTAAACTAGCACCCTCCCTGCACCCGTCCCCCCCTCTCTACTGTCCACTCCTTGTTCCCTTCTCTCCATGATTGATGTCAAGTTGTTGTTGTTGTTATTGTTGTTGTTAGCCTCAAGGGCAACATGCCGATTATCACTTGTAAGTCGCTTTGGACAAAAGTGTCTGCTAAACACATAAACATAAGAATAATTAAAGTCATCATGCTAGAGCAGCTTATCTGTGGTGGACTACACCAGCTTCTGCCACAATAAATAATAATAATAATAATATTAATAAATAACACATTTTAATTTCCTCTCTGAACTATTTCTGTTGAGAGGTTTAATGTTTAAAATCTGTTAGCTTGTTACTGACAGCAGCTACATTTAACTTCCTGTTCTGACTGAACGCTGCTGCAGCATGGAGGTGTGGTTCTCCGTCATCCTGGACATGATCATCCTGAGAGTTTTAGCTGGAAACAGCTGGACGTTTCTGGATATGTTGGAGGCATTTAGCCTCTCAGCCCAGAGGCTTCTTCCAGACTTTGGTTGTGGTCAGAAACAAACACACTGGTTGTGCTGAAAGTCTTTTTCTTTTTGTCTCCAAAACATGTTTTTGTCTAAATGAAGGTGATGTTGTTGTTCATAGAATTAAAATTCATGTTGAAGTTAAGATTATTTCATCAAGTAGGACCTGTGGTTAGCTGGCTCATGTTAAGCATGTCATGTCTTGAAAGAATCGGAATCGGGAATCGATAGGAACCGGAATCGTTCAAAGTCAAACGATGCCCAACCCTACTTATAAGAACGGATAAATGTTACGTAACGTTTCGTGATGTTTACGCGTCCACTGGAACGGCTCGGTTAGATTTAGACACACAAGACTGTGGTTGTTCTAACTAATTCACCAGCAGGGTTGTGTCATCTTTTGGGGTTTGTTGGCTACAAGGTGTGACTTCATGGACTTACTTAAGAGTCTTTTCAAAGGCCTGACTGGTGAGTTTCCCTGCGAGGAGCTGAGTGACATCCTGCCAGTTCAGTGAGACATCTGGAAGTGCTGCAGGGGGTGCTGGAGATTCATTCGTTTCACTTTTCTTGCTTGGCATTAAGTCTGCCTCCACCTTTGGACTCCGGTGGCTGATGTGACCAACCAGGAATCCTGGAAGATACCAAACCCAGACACAGAATTCATGAGCTCCTGAGGTTAACCGATTTTATCACAACCAGCTGCTTTCACTGCTTTCCGAGGCCCCATAAACTCACCACTGAAAGGAAATGAGCAGAGCTGGCACAAAACGTTACAAACGTAAGCTGATTGTAACATTTAGCTGATAAGGCAGTCACAAAAATGACAGAAATAAGTCAATTTAATCTGAAAAAGTTCTCAAATGTCAGCTACATTCAAGCCGCCTACACAAGCACTCGTCTGTAGGAGGACGACATTCTCCAAATGCCTTTTCAGTTTGAAACAGAATTGCACAAAACTTGTTTTCCTGTTTGGAAACATTTTTCTTCGGTTACCTTCTCTGTAGAAGACAAAAGTCAAAGGTTGCAAATACAGGGTTGTTCCTGGCTCAAACTGAGGCAGAGGTGGTACCATCCCGACCGTGCACCAGCACATGCATCCTCTGTGCATTCAACAGCCTCACTTTTTTAAAGGCAATATATTATAAAAGACTTATTAATATGCATTAGATTGGTGTTTACTTCCCTTTTTTCATCTGATATTTATAGTTAAAATATTTTGAAATATTTGACCTACATTTCAGGTTTGTATTAATAACACTCATCTTAGTCCAAATAACGCATAAATATATCCAGTAAAATATAAAGCATTTCATTAACATGCATTTGTGTTGGAAATGGTAATAACATTTAATTTCTGCTGCTAACAATGTAATGGTGGCATGTCTATTATGTACGGGATGGCAATAATCCAGTTTAAATTATGTTCAAAGATAGAAGCGTTTGTGAATTATATACTACAACGGCTTGCCTACTTGCTGCTCCTGTGTGTGGAGCAGACTTGTAGCAGGAATGTGACTCGTATCTGCAGCGGTTCTGACCCGTAGCGCTGCAGGATGCAGAATAATCAGGATGGTGGGGACTTTTCATCCGCTTGTAGAGTTTAGTCTTTCTTAGTTTTACGATCATCGTATATTTTTCTGTGCGCCACTTGATCGTGAGACTGCTACCCGTTAGCTTTAGCTTTAGCATTAGCCAATCTGCATGTAGCTGCTAGCCTAGTGAACTAGACCAAATTCTTGCTTTGCAAAGTTTGGTCTAGGCATGCTCCATTGGAACCTCCACAGCTCCTACCAGGACTCTGGCTAGCCAATCACAACTCTCTAGAGGGGTTTCAAACACATAAAGAGCTGTGATTGGTCCATAATGGTGGGCCAATCATAGTGCTCTATCTGCTTAGTGAACAAATCAGAGCTTTATCCCCTTTGTGGGCCAATCAGGGCACTCTATATGCCTGGTGATGCAACAGAGTGAAACAAGAGTATGTCACATTCTTTGTCCAGTGGAATGCGGAGATCATTTGAAAGACAACGGTAGAACACGCCCCACAACCGAGAGCCGTCAATGGAGGGTGGCCAGACTAAATAATACATTTATTTAGTCTGGCTTGCCAGGCTATGTAGCTGCAGTTTTGATCCCAAACTTTGGACCGGTTCTGCCTTTGCTGGTTCCTTTATTTTCCTCCACTGCATCCAGATGACCACACTGTGCGCCAGTAAAAAGCATTTTTCTTACATGTAACTTACTTTTGTTCAATAAAGTTCTGGGGAAAATAGTAATTCAAAGATGTTGCACCAGTGCTACGTTTAAAAATAGACAGACATGCACAGACAGTTACAGCCCTGTTCTGATATGGAAGAGCCTGGGGGGGAAATCAGGACGTCAACAGCACCAACCATACATATGTACCAACTAGCGAGAAAAGCCATTTTTGATCTTTTTCTGCAGCGGTTTTAGCACTTTTATGTGAACCGCTGCTGATACAGCGCCCCTGTAGTGGCGCAACGCTGCAACTGCAGTTAAAATAACATCCATATAGCTGAGGGCAGAGTGAAATCAGGCTGGGGCGGCACAACATTAGCTGGAGGCAGCCGCCACGCAAATTTGAATGCAGGAAAAACCCTGAAATAAGAAGCATGAAGTGAATTTTAACCTCTGCTAGAGTTTAAATGCAGAAAATAAAGTAAATCAGACGTGATTATATGCAGGGGCAGTTGTTCCAGTGTCTAATGTTGGTGTAAATGGAAACAAAACTAACCGATCATAAATATGAGGAGGGTTCCAAGGACCACAAAGACAACAGTACGTCTGTTCTGACGTGGAGGAGCTGGTCTGAAGCTCGGAGAGCCGGCAGCTTCCATCTCTGTGCCGTCATCGATGGCACCTTCCGACAGTTTGACCTCAACGTGGCGCTCTCCGTTCTCCGCCGGCTGCAGGGTGAACCGGCTGTACCGCTCACTTCTCATCTAAGGAGGAAAAATGGTTTCAATGATCAGACCAGAAACAGTTCATGTATCATTTTAAAAGGTCTGCTGAAGCAAAGTGAAGAACTAGAAACACGCCGTGAAAATCATCAAGTTACAGACACTCACCATGCTGTTGAAAGATGATCTAATTCGGTCCATTGTTGTTAATCTGGAGGACGTGAGACAAACATGAGATTACAAACACAAGCAGGAGGGATGTAAACAAGCAGAAATGGTGGGGAGAGCTCCACGAGGTGCGGACGTGATGAGAGTCAGAGCTTCTGTTCCACAGGGAGGGGTGTTTTCTGTGTAAACGCTCAGATTTCCTGAGATAAGGCGTTGAAAAACACAAACCAACAAACCTGTTTTATACACAAGATTCTGCATGTGGATGAAATAGCAGCAGCTTTGTGTGCAGGAAGGATTAAGATCACGTTTTAGGGTTTTATTGCAGGTAAAGCGGATAATTTCAGCTGTGCAGATGTTGACTATACTCTTAAGATTGCACACTTGGATAGAAATAAATAAATATATAAATCACAAACCACAGTCTCAAACTAAATCCCAAAAACCGTGACATGGTACGTAGAACCAGGAACACCATCGTCTGTTTTCCACAAAACAAACATATTTGGCTGTTTGTCATCAGATATTACCTTAAACAACAAAACAATATCGTGTAATGTTTAACTGGAGACAATAAAGCCAGTGTCTCTCACAGATATCTGCTTTCTTTTACCTGCTTCCTGACAATACTTTTGAATGGTTGCACAAGATCTGAACGCTTCTTTGTTTTGCTTTTTTATTCTGAGAAAGCGTTCCTGAAACTGACCCCATCATCACATCTGAAGGACACAAACTGCAGCTAAAGCAAATAAACAGATGGATCGAATGAACGAAGAGCTGGTCGTGTTTTTAAGGCACAAATCTGCAGGTTAAATGCTTAAAACTATAAAAAAAAAACTAATAAACTGAAAACTGTCACTACTTCATTAATGACATCATTAATTCACGTCTTTAAATCTGAAATATTCTTAGGATGTGTGATGCTACAACAGGTCAAATTAAAACGTGCACATATGAACATAAATAATGAGAATTGGCATGAGAATAAGAACTTTCTGGATGAGGAGAGGTGAAATCACCAGAATAAAATTTCTGATTTGTTTAAAATGATCTGACAACGTTCATGAATGAAAGCCACTGTTCTGAAGGTGAAACGGTTGCACCACCCTGTCATGACTCAACATGAACGTTTTTCGTCGACATTACAACACGTGGGACGAATTTATGTTCACGATAAACGTAGAAAAACACCAAAAACAACCACTGACAGGAGAAAACGCGAGTTTAAAACTGAATATATAGACATACATTGTGCCGAATCAACAAATAGCACGATATAGAAAAACATAACAGTTTAATTCAGGGATGAAGAACCAACGCGGGTGGCGCAAAGGTACGTGTGTTCCGGGTTTCCGGTATAGGTAAACTGACTTCCGGATAAAACATATCTGAGGTTGTAATAAATGATTTAGTGCATTAATATGTATGAACCAACTTTCCTCACCTTAACCAGGCTCTTGTGTCCCTCCGACAACAACGAATAGTCGTGATTTCACCGTGGTCCTTGGCTTTCACCTTCTTTTACGTTACAGAAAGTCACGCCTCCCTTTACGTCATGTCGTAGTTGTCACGTATATGACTGTATGAAAAGCCATTTAAACATTTAATTCGCAATCAGACCTCTTTTTGATTCCTATCTTACATAACAAAATTGTAATGTATTCTAGTCTAATTGCGTCCTAAAGTAAAGAAACAAATTACAAATGAAGGTATCAAAAGCTGTGTCAGTACTAGTAGATATCTCAAAATCCTTCAGGCGGCTGTTTTAACATTTATTAGGCAGACTGGATAAACATTCCACACACACACACACACACACACACACACACACACACACACACACATATATATATATATATATATATATATATCTTCTAGTAACATTTCAGTTTCTATCCATAATATTTTTTTCAATCCCAGGAGCCAGGTTGTAACATCAGATAGAAAGAATGTATTTATGGTTAGGAGGTGCTACAAACCGTGTACAAACCGTGGTACAAACCCACGGGGAGAGTGATTATTATAAGTTTATTGCCAGACTTAAAGTCCGTTTTAAAAGAAAATAACATACAGATAAAAGAAAAAAAATACAATAAAATCACAAGAAAAGAAAGGATACCAATTGACATTAATACAAATAAGATCCTATATAAAATCACAAGATATAACTGTAGCGGGAGTAAGGGACAACAAAACTAACTAGGTGAGATAAATCTACCCAAACATTTTAACCAGAGCATTCTCAGCCAAGACATATAACGAGAGCCGTTCAGTGGGATTTGAGAGTGCAACTATGATACTATTGGAAGATTCTTCCAGCCGTCTCATAAACTTGAACATTAAATTTCTTAGAAGTGCCTTAAATTTGCACACTCTCACAGAAACAAACATTTCTACTTGATATCATTACTATATCTGAAATGTTCATTCTTATAGGACAAATTGAATTATGGATGCCTGGAGCACAAACATATACGTAGTGGGACTGGTGCTGCCTAGTGGAGCTGTTGTGTGGCCGGCCACAATGTTAGATGGGTCTCCATTCTCCCCGGTGCATTCATTTCCACTAAGGAAGCGGCTGACCCAACTGAAAAAAACACATTGTATAATCATTTTTCACAAACTGAAAATGAAGATGAAATCACATGAGGTCTATCAAGCTATTACTAAACTACCCATAGATATTTATGTCTATGGCTTCTTGACATCTATCGCCGTCTAGTGGCCTTTTTGCACCATTACCCTCTTAAAATACTGCCGAATATAATTTTTTACTGATGAGATTGTGTGTGTGTGTGTGTGTGTGTGTGTGTGTGTGTGTGTGTGTGTGTGTGTGTGTGTGTGTGTGTGTGTGTGTGTGTGTGTGTGTGTGTGTGTGTGTGCGTGTGTGTGTGTGTGCTAAAGCTGTTATGGGGAATTTGGGGTCATTTAAAATCTGTAAAGCACCTTGAGTAGCACTTTGCTTGAAAAGCGCTTTATAAATAAAATCTGATTGATTGATTGTGATGCCTTTGAAATGTACAAAAGAATAATGATGTGGGGCAGCATATCTAGCAGTAAGATAACGTATTTTTAATCATAGATATTTCTAATGTTTTGGTTAAAATTTTGACTTAGTTAATAGGTCCTAACTTTGGTCATAAGCAATATTTTTTTTAAATAAAATTGGCCTAAAGTATGAGCTATGTGATAAATGAGTTTTTCTTAAAAAAACTTTATCAAATATCAAATAATATTTAAGCACCCAAATCTCCTATATGTGAATTTATTGTTATGCTACCTTAGAAACTATTTTATTGTGTTTGTCATTATTAGATTAAGATATAATAACAAACGTTGTGAAACTGTTTAAGGCTAAAGTGAAGATGTGTCAACTGAGTGAAACATTTGACCAGACATTAGAAAAATCATCGATTTTAGAAAAGATGCTCTCTGTAAAACCACCAAATTACCACAAGAGGGCAACACTTACAGGCAGCAGAAGTTTGTTCCTTATGGACATTTTTACACTGCATCTCATCACACAGCAACACATTACATGTTCTAAACAATAGTGGCCGCAGGGCGCGACAGATATTATTTCCTCGAGGAAAATGTTGTGTAATAGCAGCATTGTCCCAGATGGTGTCACCTCAATGCTTTGTGTTAAATGTACTTTTCTCTCAAGGGCAATTTTGTTCATCTGTGGGTGGTGGAGCAAGTGTTGTCTCTTAAAGCAGCTGCACAGATGGCAGCGTGAGAGGAGGCTACTGTGATCCGCTGTGCTGATATTTAAGGGAGAACCACATAAAGTAGCTCATTATTCAGTAGCTTTTCTGGAATCCACACCATAAAGATGTCTTGAACTGTAAGAAGTAACAACTAAATTATTTATTTTATGCAGCTCCCCAGTTCACCCACTGTAAATTGTTCATTCATTCATTTTCTCAACCATTTTCTCTATTTAGGGTCACGGTGAGCTATTGTCGGTCTCCAGCATTAAAATCTGGTCACAAAAATGTTTTCACACATTTGAATTAAGCTTAGATAATGAACTTTTGTTCAAAATATCCTAACGCCACGTCTCGCTCCACCTTTTTATCACACCAGATCACCTTTCTTGTCTGTGCAGCTTGGAACAGCTGATACAGAAAAGAAAACTCAAGATGCATAATCTAATTGTCCCCGCTGCTGCTGCCCCCCCTTTTTTTTACTGCCTTCTTTCTGCCACTGCCAGCATATTTGTCCCCTGCTGTGATAAAGAGGGAAGCAACTCTGCATCAGCATCTATGAGGAGATAATCAATCAAATCAATCAAATCAAAGCTTTATTTATAAGAGAAGGTTACAGAGATTACTGTCTGAGGTTGATTTAAACTGTAAAATTACTTTCAATCAATCAATCAATCAATCAATCAATCAATCAATCAATCAATCAATCAATCAATCCAACTGTTAATCCGACCAACCGTCCGTCCACCGTCTGACCGTCTGACCAGTCAATCAATCAATCAACCAACCAACCAACCAACCAACCAACCAACCAACCAACCAACCAATCAATCAATCAATCCAACTGTCCATCCGATCAACCGTCCGTCCGACCAGTCAATCAACCAATCAATCAATCAATCAATCAATCAATCAATCAATCAATCAATCAATCAACCAATCAATCAATCAATAAATCAATCAATCAACCAATCAACCAATCAATCAATCAATCAATCAACCAACCAACCAACCAACCAATCAATCAATCAATCATCAATCATCAATCAATCAATCAATCCAACTGTTCATCCGACCAACCGTCCGTCCACCGTCTGACCGTCTGACCAGTCAGTCAATCAATCAACCAACCAACCAACCAACCAACCAACCAACCAACCAACCAATCAATCAATCAATCAATCAATCAATCAATCAATCAATCAATCAACCAATCAATCAATCAATCAATCAATCAACCAATCAATCATTCAATCAATCATTCAATCAATCAATCAATAAGAGCTTTCCACAACCATAGAAGGTGACCAAAGTACTTAAAATAATAAAATAAGACCATAGTGCAGAAAAATAAAGATTACGATAAAAGATCAAACGTAAAATCTTAAAATTAAGAACTGATTAAGAGACTACACGAGTAAAAACACAAATCCTAAAAAGCTAAAAGAGAAGAATAGTTGAGCGGGTGGGTACTAGTAAGTCCCTAAAAACAAATGTCTGCTGAAAAAGGTACTTTTATGGTTTGACTTGAAAGTGGAGCAGGTCGTCGGGAAGTTTACTCCAGAGTGAAGGAGCCATCACTGAACATGAGCGGTACTTTGAAAAACTCTTGAAAACATTTATGAACTGCACCCTGCATTAATCTAGAGGGAATGTTTTGCTGTTCTTGCCTCTGTAACGTGTAAATGGCCAAAAGTTCACTTCTTCACACAGGTCAATCTGACACCTCCGGCATCGATGTGGAAACTATGATCTTGACCCAATATTCTTAACTTATCTTGTGGTTTATCACAAGACATCAAGATGCTGCTGCAGAAGACGCAAGATTTCTTATCCATCTTCTTTGAATAAAGTTGATCTTTCCAGGCTCATAAAACCACATTCTAACTTTACAAGTTCTTACAATCATATTCTGTGGTACCTACAACAGGCTTTCAAATCTGAAGTGTTTTAATAACGTAATTGCTCTAAAGAAATGAATGGTTAGTTAACATGAATGTTTATTTGTATAATGATTTATTTCAGATCTTAAATTACACCAGATTAGTATACTTGTTGAATTTAATAATGGTAACCTATCAGTATTTTCATACATTAACCCTTGGGGGGTTCCAGGACTCTAGAAGGCGCTATATCAAATACAGGCCATTTACCATTTAATATTACCATTTATAGTTAATGGTTAATATATTAGATTAGATTAGATTAGATTAGATTAGATTAGATTAGATATCCTTTATTGTCATTAAATGATTGCACATTCAACGAAATTTCCTAGAGCTCCACATTAGGCATCCGCTAAAAATACTAAGAAAAATAGCTAAAACAAGTACAATATGCACCATGCAATAAAAACAAAAACATTACAAAATGCAATAAATAACATCAATAGGGTTGATTTTTCTGTCCATTCAGGGTTCTAACAGCCCAGGGAAAGAAACTCTTCCTCAGTCTGTCGGTCCTGCAGCTGAGGGATCTGAATATTCATTACACATAAATGTTTGACAATTTACTTCACCTTCAGGAATATAACCTCTGTAAGTGTTAGAGAAAGGAGTGGTGTCTGAGGGTTTTGATAACGCACTTTAACTTGTCAAATTCTGATTTGTCCAAATTTATAAACAATAGTTAATAAAAGAGAGTTCACTTTCTGAACAAGCCAGTTCTAGCGAGCTGCCCGGTTTGGCCGACTGGGTTGGCCAAGCATAAGGAACCATCCTCCTTGTTGACATCAAGGTAAAAGCCTTTGCAAATTGCATCAGTCACCTGGAAGCTATCTCAGGCCAGAGGTTTGTATTTGGGGTTCAAATTAAGCTTACCCAAATGTCACGATGCACCACTGAATGTAAACAACTACTATAAACAACAAAGAAGCAAAAACAACAGATAAATATTAATCCAGTCAGAATGGGATGTTTGGTTTAGGATCATTAGCATAACCACACTCCTCAGTTTTGATGCTCAAAGGCCTGAATCTGTTTTTTTGTACTTTGTAATTTGAGACTTGAAAAGTACCAGTAATAGAGATGTACTACAGATTCATTTTGTAACATTCAACTTTCAAAAGTAGCACTTTTTCTTCTGGTTTCTATATTTGCATCACATTGGCTTTATCCACAGCTTTGGCGGGATTTTTCACAAAGATAAAACCAGCCAGTTGCATCTGTTCCTTAACCGCACATCGTTACAGCTCATCAACACAGAAGGAGCCGTAAAATCTTTGTGCAGACCTTCATTATGCACTTGTGTGGACTCGAGTCGCATGACTTGGACTCGAGTCAGACTTGTCATTATTTTAATGACTACTGACTTGACTTGACAACAACCAAGCCTTTGGATAAGAATCACTCAGTACTCAAACTTAAGATTTGCACGTTATAGGCAGATAAAGGATACGTATGGAAGGGTCCTTGAGGCTCGATACGTCTGGGAGGCCAACGAAATCTACGGCAGTGCAGGTTAACACGCAGCAACAGCACTCCTTGGCACCATTTGGACTTTTTAGAATAAAACAAGATCACGATCAGACACCGGTAACGCTCCTCAATTTTACGGCGGGTGTCAGATACCGACACTCTGGCACAGCGCATCGCCTCCCAACGCGCAGGGGCTCGTCACCTGCTGTCGTTTCCGAGGACTGCATCTTGTCGGTCATTATCACGTGACAGCGACTAGTCGTTGAAAGGCATAAAAAGTCACTACAGAGCAGTGAAGTTGTCTAGTTGACTAGTTGATACAACCCCTAGTATGGGGTAGAAAAAAACAGAAAACTCTAGAGCAGGCCTCTAAACTCTGCAGTCTGTCTCTGTGCCTCGCCGTTTTGCACGCTGCCTGTTTTTGCACAAGGTGACCCTCTAAACCCTCCAGGATCCCCGCTGTGTTCGCAGCCTTTTTTTGAAGCAGCTAGATGAAGCTCAACCCCCTGTCCACCTGGTGGCAGTGTCTCAGCACTGTCCCACCTTATATCAGTAGCCATGACACTCACGACTTGACTCGGACTTGAACGCCAATGACTTGTGACTTGAATCGACTTGCATCTGTTGACTTGAAAAGTGGCACGACATGGACAAAAACCATAAATCATTTTTGGGTTTGATTTACTGCTGAATGCAGCGGCACTTTGTTTCAGGGCCGTGCAGAGACCTTTGACGGGGCGGGTGCTCAAAGTAAAAAAAAAAAAGGGGCCCTTACAGAGCAAAACTTTTAAACAGATTCACAATCCAACAAGTTAGAAATTTCAGATAATGACACCCTTGGGTTCAAACAACATAAAAAAAAATATAAATTAGTGTCATTAGTGTTAATGTTAGTTCATAAATAATAGTTTTAGTTTTTAAAGCTGACTTATATCTAGAGATGTTACAACCACATTTTTGGCCCTGATCCGAGTCCAAGTTGTTTGATTTTTGATTATCTTCCAACAGCGCCGGCGCTCCGCACACGCACACCACGCACAGCGCGGAGGGCACCACGCCGGGGGAGGAGCACCAAATGTAAGCTTATGAAAAAATAATATATGTTAAAGACAGATTTCAATTAGAAGGTGTGCAAAGCAAGTTAACAGCATGTTTACAGAGAAAACATACAAAAGGGAAAGGAGATGGACCGTGTCATGGCTCCGAAAAGGCTGCAGGAGTCCGGGGAGAATCTCAGAGAAGCTTTAGAGCTTTTTTACTGCTGGAGAAAAAAATTTAGCAAGTCATCATCTTCCTAAATGCAGTTTATTCTCTTTCTGGATCAGCACTTCTTTAAAGAAGAAGTAGTAATTAAATGCAACAAAGGGAAATATCCTTTTATTTATTCAGTCTGTTCATGCGACTTGTAACAAATAAGTCTGAACAGTGTTAAAGGTTGTTTATCTAAAAAAAACAGACCTTGAAGAGTTTGAAGATTTTTTAGTTTTAATAAGTTAATCTTAAAACATCTTTAAGTAAAATAAAGTTTCCTCTGTGAGGTCAGATAGACCCATCTGTGCTGTTTTGAAACAGAAATGAACAAATGAATCATATTTGTCCACCCAAATACAGTACTTAGATAAATATCACAAAAACAGGAAGAACTAACGCCGTCAAGGTAATGTAAGACATTTTTAAATAAGCGACTGTTTGTGATCAATCATGAATTAACTATGGACATGATTTATATCATTATTAAATAGCCTTTGTGGCCTATAGGCTATGTAACTGAGATGTAATATGAATATAAAAAAATTAGACACACCTATTTTCAAATTAGGTATTTGCTCCATGTTATATTTTTCATAAACGTTTTCAGGCCAAGGGGAACATCAGCTGCCGATGGTATAATTTGAAGAAAAAAAGTCCATTATGCTAACCTCCTCCCTTCATATTCAGAATTTTCTAGTTGTGTATATTGTGCCTCTGTCATGGCGGGTGGCAGTTTCTTGACCCACGACATGCAGAATCACCATACGGAGAGCAAGAAGGTAAGTAAAAAGGTTTTTATTACTAAATAAAGAGCAATGTGAGAGACGGGAACAGACGAGACGCAGGACTGGCAGCAGGAATCCAGGGGGAGATTCTAAGGATGGAGACAGAATGAATATGAGGCGCTAACAAATGGAAACGTTATCTGGAAGACTGGTCTTACGGTTTCTTGGTAGTGGTAACTGAACAGGAAGGTTGTTAGGTCCGGGTGAGCTGAGGAGATCCAAAGGTAAAGGGATTGGTTTGTCCAGAGGTGTAGGAGCAGGAATGGATGTTGGTAGGTGAGCGGCTGAGAGCGGGCGGCCAGGGGATGAAGCAGTGTGTCAGGTAGGCTGAGATTCGGATCTTGTTCTGGAGCTGGTGAGAGATTGCGAGGAACCTGGAGGAGAGCAGGAGAGGGCATCAAGGGGATTTTCAGGCGACAGGTTAACAAGAGCAAAAATACTAATGTCAAGGTCGGGTCGGAGACTAGAGCTACCCAAAAGAGTAATCATCCGGCGTGGTGAAGTGTCACACTGCTCCTTAAATCCCCTGGGCCTTGCAGCTGGGAGCTCTCAGACACGCCCACCTGTGAAAACAATACTCAGAGAAGAGAACAGGGTTACAGGCTGGCAGCTCACCACGGACCATGACAGCCTCTCTAGTTCTTAATAAAGGTTAAATAGTTTTGAATTTAGTCATGTCACATGCCAGTGATTCATAAGCCAATACAAACCTATAAATAATCTTTAGCAGTATTTTTTTTACCATGGTTTAAAACTTTTATCGTATTATAGAATGAATATGACAAATTCTCTTTTTGTGTTTGAATGCAGGCTCAATGAACAAGTACATTCAAGGAGGAGCTCACGCCAAAAGTTCAGATCAGCCCTCCACCAGCAGTTCAAGAGCTCGAGATCTGTTGTCAGCCATCACGTCTGAACCTTCTACAACATCACCCAGCCCTGACCAGGAATTACAAAGTAAAGCACACCTATAGACCGAGCACAGCCCACAGCCAGCACTTCAGAAGGCAGAGTGAGTCCTGCCTCTGAAAATTACATTGGAGAAACACATGTGCCACAACCGGTGCTTGTGGTGTGTGGAGCTGTTACATAGTTCTAAATAATAACATTATGGAGTTCCTGTGTTGAGTATGTTATATTATGTAAATATCAATCCTACTTTTTGGAAATAATAAGCAGTTTGTCATACAAGAGAATTAAAGAGAATTTAAGGCGAAGCGCTTGCACATGTTGTGTTGTTGTGTTGTGTTTTCGGGGGTGGGGGGGGGGGGGGGTCTGGAATGAAGCTGAATCATTTAGTAAACATTTGAGTGTTCAAATAAAAGCCTGTGTGGCTGTATCTGTCCCTCCTCATGTCACCATCTACAAACAGAGCCTTCTGACCAACCAGGTGGATTTTGTTTGTGACGTTTGTTTCCATAACTTTATAAAAGCTGCTGATGACGATGATCAGACTATCTCCTCCCTTTGGTTCTCGCTCTCCCGTCGCGGTTCGCTCCGTTTCTTTCTGTGACGCTGCAAAGCTGGTTTCCTTTTAATAGCGATTTTCGGAGTAACATGAATTACATCATGTAATACCTCGCTGAAAAGCTTGTTTTATGTACTTTTAGGAACCGTTTGAACTATTTTTATTCGATTAGTAATTCAGAAGTTGTGACCCGAAGAATCTAGTGAGAAATATCAACATCCGTGATTCTTTGTTGTGTTTCTTCAACACTTCAGGAGAAGTCTCTCTCGTTTCTCATTTTCTGTCCCAGACATGCAGCGACCTCACTGCTCCACACACACTAGCCGTGGACTGAAAAACACACGTAAACAAAAGCTCTGATATTAAAATCCATCCAGCTGACGTGAAGCAGGCAGAAAAAACGTACAGGTAGATGAACGCAGACTCCTGCCCACAGGCAAAACACCAGTCGACTCCATGGCTGCAAGGTAGAGCGACAGCAGGGACAACCAATCACATGTTAGTATGATGTGGAAGAGCCAATCAGTGACCTTGTAGGCGGGTTTAAGGGAAAATAGGCTTCAGCTTGAGGCGGCTGCCTCCGCATGGTCCTTGCGGCAAAATCTGACGAACGACTGGAAAAAGGGCACTTTGGGCTCTTTGGACGTAAGGGGCAGGTGCTCAACAAGCACCCTCCGCCCCCCCCCCCCCTGCACGTGCCTGCTTTGTTTTTAATCAGTTTCAGTTGCACTTTCTGCTTATTCGAGCAAACAAATGAAGCGTTAAGAAGCTTTAATTCTGGAATTTGTTTATTATCATTGTCATTAAATTGAAGTTTATTTATGAATGGTAAAGTAACCGTTTACAGTCGAAATCTCTAAATTTGACTGCATTTTAGCATTTATTTTGTACATCACTGTAAGATGAATGCCTTCCTGAGATTTGAATATTTTTTAATGTTTCTGACATTAAAATAGTTAAAAACTCTCCTTTAATAAAGAATAATTCCATTATAATACAGATCAATATTAAGAGAAATTGGATTTCCAGCCCTTTAAAACAGTATTTGCGCCTCCACCATCTGCTTGTGGTAACGCGACAGACAGCGTCACGCTGCGCTCATTGCGTCAAAAGTCAGCGAGCGAAGCTGAAGTTTACGAGGCACACTTGAATGCGCCGAGAGAGAGAGAGAGAGAGAGAGAGAGAGAGAGAGAGAGAGAGAGAGAGAGAGAGAGAGAGAGAGAGAGAGAGAGAGAGAGAGAGAGAGAGAGAGAGAGAGAGAGAGAGAGAGAGAGAGAGAGAGAGAGAGAGAGAGAGAGAGAGAGAGAGAGAGAGAGAGAGAGAGAGAGAGAGTCCCTCATTAGCATCAGCGTCTTTTTCCGTTTTCTGGCCGCTCGCTGCGCCTCCTCCTCTCGTGACAGAGAAAAGAGGAAGGAATATGGTTTGATGTGACGCTCCTCCTGTTTCAGCGCTGCTGTAGCGGATCTCTGCTTCAGACAGGAGGCTGGAGCTCGGTCCGAATCAAAGCCGCCACCATACCTGAGAATAACGCCGTCCCCGAGACCCACAATCCTGCAGGAGCGCTTCCAGCACACCGGGAGACATAAATGGGTGAGACGCGACGCCTCTTGTGGTTTTGTGTGTTTGCTTTGGAGACACCCCACCAAAGGTCCCCCCCAGCTCTCCCTCTCCGTGTCTCCGCGCATCTGGATGGGACAGGAATGAACGACCGGTCCAGATGCGCGTCTCTCCACGTCCCTCCAGAGCAGTTTTTATATTGTTCACCGCAGACCATGGGCGAGTTGTGGTCTTATTTCCGAGGGCTTATTTGGTAGGAAGCCACGCGTGGGAGTGCATCGCGAATGCGTTTTTCTTTTAAAGGAAAGCAGATTGATGAGTTGCAGATGTTGACACGTTTGCATTCACGCTGTCCGTGGGCCTGTTGTGTTGCACGGCGATGGGCTGTCCGGTTTTGTGCCTGAGTGAGTAACGGGCCTGATTGTGAGATGTGTTGCTGTGCACCCTGCATGGCTGCAACTGGCTGCAGGTGGTCAACTCAGTTAAGAAATACCCAAATTTTATTGTGCTGCACAATTCCCTGTTAGTGTTCAAACGTTTATGTCTACAATTTAATTCATGCTCTGCACAGTTTACAGGCCTTCATTCTTTTGGCCCACTGAGCTGCAAACAACCAATGCATGCATGGCCTACCTTAGAAATGCCCCCCTCTCCAACACACACACACACACACACACACACACACACACACACACACACACACACACACACACACACACACACACACAGTTATTTGTCTGTGGTGATTTAGCACAATCCATGACCCTAAGGTATCTATTACGTGGGTATTTAAGGTTACATAATTAAATTAGTGAACAAAGTACAACAAAAGAAGCTGCAATTAAAAGGCTTTTAAACTTTTTTCTGCACGGGAGACAAACCTTTACAAAGTCTGGTGCAACAACAAATTACCTGCCATTTACAGGGTGCACAATTATGTAGAACAGGATCAATAGGCAGGTTGATGCTGCGTCCGCAGTGATGCGAGCGCTGAACCGGTCTGTGGTGGTGAAGAGAGAGCTGAGCCAGAAGGCGAAGCTCTCGATTTGCCCGTCGATCTACTTTCCTACCCTCACCTATGGTCACGAGCTTTGGGTAGTGACCAAAATGAGTTTCTCTGCAGGGTGGCTGGTCTCTCCCTTAGAGATAGGGTGAGAAGCTTGATCATCCGAAAGGGGCTTGGAGTAGATCTGCTGCTTCTCGGGCATCTGGTTATGTCTCCTGGACGCATCACTGGTGAGGTTTTCCGGGCACGTCCAACCGGGAGGAGACCTAAAGGTAGACCCAGGACACGGTGGATGGACTGTTTGTCACCTGGCCGGGGAACACCTTGGGATTCCCCCGGAGGAGCTGGCCCAAGTGGCTGGGGAGAGGGAAGTCTGGGTCTCTCGACTTAAGCTGCTGCCCCACGACCCGACTCCGGATAAGCGGATGAAAATGGATGGATGGGTGATAGAACGAGCACCCGTTAGGGTGTGCATGAGAAGAATAGAAATTTCTAAAGATGCACTAATTTTACACAAACTTTTAACCCTCTCATAATAATTTTTGATAAAAGGACGAACAACTAAGTCCTTCAGGGTTACTTCTGAGTTAAAAAAAGTTCATGAAATACGTGCGTGGAGTAACCAGGTAGGTAGGCTTTAACGTTGCAAATCTGCAACGCCTGCCTCCAGAGGGTTAAGGTAGGACTAATTACCAATATCAGTTCAGCTCTGCAGTTTTGGCTGAGCCAAACTCGTCTGAAAGATCTGAACGTTTTTTTTTTATTTCTGATTCATTATGAAACTATGTTTCCGATCCAAAAGTCCTCCTATCATTCATGTGGACGCAGCGCATCCTGTCACGTATGAAATAAGACTTCTCTTCAATCACACATGAACACAGTGTGTCAAGTCAACATGGAGACGAAAGCAGAACTATTTTGAAAAACCTTTGCAAAGCTATTGATTCTGATGACACCAGAGGTCATAAAGAGTGAGAAATGACAAACACAGGAAACTAATATTAGAGGCACACAACCTTACAATATTTATCTGTCATTCCGTCATGATCACTGCCTGCAGCTTTGCAAAAATATGCAAATTAAACTTCAGAGAATGTGGTTTGCCAAACAACAGCTGGCATGGTCATGCTGTATAATGTAGGTCAGTATGAGAAAAAGAATGAGAAATATACCTGTGGAATCTTGGAGGATCAGGTGAGAAAGCCCCGCCCCCTTTTGAAGCTACTTCTGGCAGCAGACGCAGCATTTGAAGTTCAAACAGGTCACATAACTGATCTTCTGTTTTCACACATTTGATGTTTTTTAATGAAAAAAGTTAGTTTCTTGATTTTTTGAACGATTCTGATAGCTTTGGGCAACACACTCACTTTTATAATTTTTTATAACTTTTTTGTTGTTCAGTAAATACATAAATTATATACAGAAACATAGTCTTCTGCCACTCTTGAGTGAGTGCTACAGGACTGGTGGTTTCCTCTCCAAAGTGCCTTTGTAGACACATGTATTATTATCATTATTATGTGTTAGGAAAGCAAGAAGATGAAATATTCCATGTTAGAATGCAGAATTGATACTTTAAACAGGTGAGCCTAACAAGGAAATACTTTACTCAATTTCTTCTGTGTGTTGCAATTCAGACTCCGACTGCTAGGTGGCAGCAGGTTTAACCGCCTTCATTCTGACGGAACAATTTCACCATAACACTGGAAGTCTGTCATCTAATTCACCTTTAAAAGTTGCAAATAGGGGGCCTTAGGTGGGGCCTTTGACTCCGCCCCTCTCCTGGGACCTCCTTTGATGATATAAATCTTCGTCTCCCCTCCCCCTGCCACACCTGGTGTGGGGTGTGGTGGCTTGGTCTTCCTGAGTGTTCGTGGCTCCCAGGTCAGGGGGTTTAAGATTTTTGGCGCCTGCCTGGTCAATCCCAGTGGCTGCCTGGTGGGGTCTGGGTCCCTGGGCTCTGCTGGGTCCTCGGCGGGGGTGGTCGCCCCTGGGTCCCGGGTCGCTGGGTCCCGGGCTCGGCCGGCTAGGGGGTGGGAGGCTGCGGGGGTGCCTGTGGGCTTGCCGCTGATATCTCCCAGGGCTCTGCCGGCTGCTGGTTGTGGCCCCCCGGGGCAATCCTCTGCGCCTCTCGAGGGGGGCGGGGGGCCTTTCTGGTTGCAGTCCCCTTGGGGTTCCTGTGTTCTGGGGCAGCGCCTGGATCTCTGGGACTTGGAGCGCCCCCTGTCTCCTACGCATCTTTGGGGGCAGATCTGTGGCCCCTCACACTCTCTATTGGACGCTCCTATAGAGAAACCTTACATAAACAAGCGCGTGTACACACACAGGTGCTCACATGGTGCTCTCAAAAGTATGGGCTTGGGCACGTTCAACACAGGTCTTAAGGCTGTGGTTGCCACTAAATGCACTGTGATTTATCATCATGTGCATGGATGTAGTTTTCACTTTAGAAGTGGGGGGGACACGGGGGGGGGGGTCTTTACAGTATGCTCTAATGGGAAACAGGTTTCAACACAAACGGCTGTTTTCTGCTTGGTCTTAGAGCTCAACCAGTGTCAATTTAATATAGCGTAATATTGTTTTTGGATGGTAAAAAGTGCAGGGGTCAAAACTCTATTTTGGAAAAAGTGGGGGGGGGGCATGTCCCCCCGTCCCCCCCCAAAATTACGTCCATGATCGTGTGATTGTTCAGTTAAACAATGTCGATTTTATATTTCATCATCACGTTGACGCAGTGATAGCTTGCTCCTGATGTATTGTTGTGTGTCCCATTTTTTTCTGTTCTTTCTCTTTCTGCAGGTCTAGAAGCAGACTCTTGTTCATTATTGTTTATGTTTGTGGAACACCCCCCCCCCCTCTCTCTCTCTTCCCACCATTTGTCTTTTCCTTTCTCTTTCACCTCTGTCTCAGTGTCTGGTCGGAATTACAAAGCATTCAAAAACAACAACAATAAAATTTGAAGTATCAGGCGTGACATTTAAAGCAGATGCTTTGATGCTCCACCTGAGAGTAAATCTGTAAGGCTTGTTACCAGCATTCAGACATCAATTCTGCTTGCTTCACAGCCAGACAGGACACGGTTAAAAAAAATGTTGCAAATATCGTCTGGCTTTTAGTACCACAGTATATCATATCGTCTCCCTTATATTGCGATATTATCACCTGATTCTTGCCGATGCACACCTCTATTATACAAATATGTCACAAATATAGTTATTTAGGCCGCCTGTGGGACAGTTTAGAACTTCCTGAATATAAAATGCATTCTCACAACAGCCCTTTACTGTGTTCCTGTCAGTTAGCTGACTGAGCAAGAGATACAGGTGTGTGGTTTCCATGGTGATACTAATTTGCCACTGGCAGCAACCTAAAAAATTTCCTCTGATCCTGTTTCTCTTTACACATTTTTTATTGTTTTAAATCCTCTCCTTCCTAAAAACGTTTAGTACAATCGGTTCGCACTCATATAATCACTTTCCACTCTTCATCAGCACTTTTCCTTCCAGCGTCGCTCGTGTTGCCTACTCCGCAGCTTTTCTGGCTTTAAGTGGCTGCCACTAAAATAACTCGGAAACGCTGCAGAGAATTCCAAACAGACAACGTTAAGTTGGAGGAATAAAGTTGACCTAGCCACTAGATTCCCCGATTGTCCCCAGCAGCAGAATGATTGGAATTTTCCTTTTCATGTGGGAGAATTTGCTGAAGCCTGTGATCTGATCCACAGTCAGGAGTGGGTGGCTCTGACTCCCAGTGGGCTCTAGTCCAGCGTGAAAGTTTTACAGGCAGTTGCTGTTGACGCCAGAGGCGGAGAGGCACCAAAACTCGCCAAGAGCTAAACCCAGGTTCACTGAGAAAATGCTGAAATGCCATCACGGCTTTGCAGGCCTCTGTGTGTCGGTATGCGCGGGTCCCCGTTATCCAAACTAGCTGCAGCTGTTCAGGCGATGCTACGGGCTTCATCTCCTGTGCAAGTCTGTTACTTCACCACTTGAGTGGGAGTTTTGTTTTGTCTGGAGGCTTGCAAGTA